CAGCCTCATGTCCATTTCCTGATACCTCTGTGTGTCTGTGTCTGTGTCTGTGTGTGTGTGTGTGTGTGTGTGTGTGTGTGCATTTGTGCGCACGCACGCATGCATGCTTCGTCACTCATTTGTGTCCCACTCGTTGCCACCCCATGGACTATAGCCTGCCAGACTCCTCTGTCGATGGGATTCTCCAGGCAAGAATACTGGAATGAGTTGCCATGCCCTCCTCCAGGGAATCTTCCTAATCCAGGGATCAAACCCGTCTTCCACATTGCAGGCAGATTCTTTGTCACCTGAGCCACCAGAGAAGCCCAAGAATACTGGAGTGGGTAGCCTATCCCTTCTCCAAGGCATCTTCCTGACCCAGGAAATGAACTGTGGTTTCCTGTATTGCAGGCAGATTCTTTACAAGCTGAGTTACTAGGGAAGCCCCTTCCTGGTACCTAAATATATCTAAATCCAAAGCTCTTCTAGGGTCCAGTGGGGCAAACTGTCCTGTTTTTTTATCTAAATGTCCCTTTGCAGGAACTTAATTTTTACATTCCTATTCCCCGTGAATTCATCCACATTTCCCATATACTTTCCATCTTGACATAATGTTGCGCTTGTGTTACAAAAATCTCCTCACTTTATCAAGAAGGGTGCTTATGCCTCTGTTTTTTGTCCTCCTTTTATTTTATCTCCTTGACATAGGAGGTCCCTTCCTCTGTTTGGTAAAGAGTCCATTCTTAACTATATTAAGCTTCACAGTCGTATTTTCAACTTTTTTCTCTGGTTTTGCTATTTTCAGGTTCTTTGTTCATTAGTTTCTTGTTTCTCATTCCATCTTCTTGGATTCATTTTATGGTTTGCCAGAGCATGTCATTTTTCAGAGAGTGCACAAGGGTGATAAACTTTCTAAATTTTGTATAGCGTATATGTCTTTATTTTGCTTCTATTCCAAATAGTATTTTACAGGGTATAGGATTCTAGGTTTAAAATTACCTGCCAGATAACTTTAACAGCACTGTTTCTGACTTCTTTTTCCACTGATGCGGCAGATCAGATGTTCACAGAAACCTCTTCAAGTGAGCACAGCGGAAATTGCGGGGTGAAACATCTGGATGAGCGGAGGGATAGTAAAGTGATTCCTCAAAGGCAGAAATGAGAAGAACGCTGCTTTCTGCACCCCGTTCTTCCTTCTCTCCCTGAGTCTGTCCTGGAGTCTCAGAGTCGCCTTGGGTCGGGCCGAGTTTTAAAAAGACACCGATACCCACAAAGGACCATACCATCCCCTGTCCCCAAGAAAATAATCCCTTTTTTGCTCTGTGAATAACTCTTGGGACTTCATCTTGAGAGCCACAGAGCCACAATGGGGACAGAGAAAAAGAGAGAGGGAAAAGTGAGGGGGAAGGCCCTAGCAGTTCTCCCAAGCAATTCTTTCATTATTCACTCTGATACCTGCCCTGCCGGACTCTCAAGTTTAGAATTTCTCTGGGAGCTCCATTGAAAAGTGGACTCTTTCTATCAGTTTTCTCTAAACTGACTTTGCATCATGTTTATTCTGCTATGATTTCTCTACCCACCCAATGCAACCCACTCTTTATCCTTCAGGAATTCTTCAAACTGCTGGTTGTTTTATGGCAGCTTATTGAGTTTTGCAGCAACCTTTTAGATGTTTTTTTCCTAAAATCTTTTCTCTTGTTTTGATGTACCATAGCAATACAATATTTTCTGAAGAAGAGAAAAATGTACCGATGCTAAAATGGAAAGATGACCATGATGCATTCATTCATTTATAAATCCATTCATCCATTCAATAAACCTTAAGAGGATCTGCTGTGTATTAGACATCGTTCTAACCTTTGGGAAACAGAAGCAACAAAACAAAGTGCCTCTTTTCAGGAGCTGATATCCTAGACTGCCAATAGGTTTTTTAAAAATACAAGTTGAAGAACAATATTAATGATACAATATAACACCTTTATGTGCAAATGGGTATATCTATACCTCTGTGTGTGTGTGTGTGTGTGTGTGTGTGTGTGTGTGTGTGTATTCTTTCAGATAGAATCTTCAGGGGATGCAATTAGAGAAGGAACATGTGAGAAGGTTTCTTTTAACTGTTTTTATTTTTATTTATATATTGTCCGTTTGTACACTTGATTCAGGCTTTGTTCTAGATACTTGGCACAAACCAGTGAACAAAGGAGATAAACACTCTGCCTCCTTGGATATCATGTTCTAGCAAGAAAAGCCAGACACTAAACAATAAATAAAAATAATTTATTTTTATTTTATGTAATAATAACATATTACCATACATAATATGTCAGCAGGTGACAAGGTCTATGGAAAAAAAAAGGAATAGACTAAGGAAAATTGCCAGTACGACACATGGAGAGGCATCACGGGGTTGTATCTTTAAATAGGGTGGGAAGGATAGACTTCATTCAGGAAGTAGCATTTCAGCAAAATATTCAAGTGGAGTAGGAAAAGGGAAATGAGAAGGATGCTCAACGTCACCAAAATTAGAGGAATGTAAATCAAAAGTACAGTGAGGTGTCACCTCACACTGGTCAGAATGGCCATCACCAAAAAATCTATAAATAATAAACACTGGCGAGGGTAGATAGAAAAGAGAACTCTCCTACACTGTTAGTGAGAATGTATTGATAAATTGGTGTAGCCACTATGGATAACAGTATGGGAGTTCCTTAAAAAACTAGAAATTGAATTGCCACATGATCCAGCAATCCCACTCCAGATAAATCCAGAAAAAATGAAAACTCTGATTCAAAAAGATACATGCAGCCCAATGTTCATACCAGAACTATTGATAATAGCCAAGACATGGGAGCAATCTGAATGTCCATCAACGGATGAACAAATAAAGAAAACATGGTGTATACACACACACTATGGAATATTAACCATAAAAAGGAATGAAATAATGTCATTCACAGCAACATGGATGGACCTAGAGATGATTGTACTAAGTTAAGTTAGTCAGACAGGAAAGCCAAATATTTTATGATATCACTTACATGTGGAATCTAAAATGATACAATGACTTTATTTATAAAACAGAAACAGACTCATGGACACTGAAAACAAATTTATGGTACCAAAGAGGGAGGGAGGAAGATAAATATTTAAAGACGACAGACATCTAATCCTCAAAAAAAAATTCAGTCTTTGAGATGATAGAAAATGCAAAGAAATCTAAGTGAAATGATTTGGTCAAAGCAGTGAACACTTAAGAGAAATGATCCTATTTCATTTTCTTGCACTGAAACTAGCAAACAGCACAGCCAAGAACAGCCAACACTGGACGTTGACTGTGTATAAGATGAATTCACAGCAGCTCACATGCTAGAATCCTCACATCAACCCTATCAGGCAGGTACCATTACTGTCCCCACTTTACAGATGAGAAAACTGACTCACAGAGGGACTAAGTTGCCAGAAGTCCCCCAGGGAGCAAGGGATGTGTTCCAGCCCCAGCAGTCCAGCTCAAAGCCCACTCCTCACTCCTGTGCTACCTGCCTCTTCCTCTCAGTCACCACATTTGTTTAGATGAGCAGACCAACAACCCAGCTTATTTCCCGAGGCAGAAACAGAGGCCCAGAAAGTCTTAAGGATTGCTCAGTGTCCCAGAGCTAGTCTTCAGCCCACAGTTCTCTCTCAACATTTCCAGACTAATTCAGCAGCCTCACTCACTACCGTAAACCTTTGAGACATCACTGCCAGCCAACTGCTGAGAAGGGGCACTGGTGTGAAGAGGAGGCTGTTATTAGGGGACCATAGTGCTGCAGATGAAGAATTAAAGCTGTTGATGCACTGAAGCATTGAAAGGAAGAGGTGCATTGCGGAGGAGCAGGGCAGTGGGCAAACACAATGAAGGAAGAAGGGACAGCCCGGTAGAACCACCTGAAGGTTCAGGAAAGGGGCATGAGAAGCCTGGGAAGAGGTAGGACGGACAGGGAGATCCTGGGGGGCTGGGTGAGGGGGATATGGGAAGGCAGACAGGGAACAGAAAAATCACGTTACTTATCATAGCATGTATTTTCAGTACCAGTCCAGAAATTAGAGAAAACCATGCCTCACGAACCCAGGAAGTACAGTTTGGGATTGCAAAGCCTTCATCTGAGCAACATTTACAAGATCTACGACCCTGTGTGGCACTTAATAGGCACTCAGTAAAGGTTTGTCTCAATAAAAGAGACAAAAGAGGAAGATCTGAGGATCGCTTTCATAAAGAGAAAGACACCTAAGGGAGTAGGTGCTCAATAAATATTATTTTTTTTATCTGTGTACCGTGAGCAGCCTGGAGAGTCGTAAAAGATTATCTGATATATTTCCAAAGAGCACTTGCCTCTGATTTCAATTTTCAAAAATTCCCTGGGAGGCTGTGGAATTTCTCACTGGGGACTTTTAAGAGCACCTTCTTACAAGAGCCCCTTGGAGGGGTGGTTCAGATGATGTAAGACAGATAGATGAAGAGAGAGGCTGGGCCAGATGACCCTGCAGACCTTCTCCCTCTTCGGTCCTAATTTCCATGTCATCCTCTCAGAAGTAGAAGTTTCCATTCTGCTCTGCACGACACACACGTGAGTGGGACAGGCCAGCAGACACTGTCATCCCACGAAATGAAGATGGCTGAGTGACTTGGAAACCTTCCAGAAGGGCCTGGTTAAATCGTAGGCCATTTATTTCATGGAGAAATAAACCACAGAGGGCTTCTTTCAAACATGCTCATGGAAAGCAGGACAAAATGCTGAGATTATCTGCTCAGAATTTGCTTTAAAAGAGTCCAGGCAGCACTCATTTATTTTTGAGAAAATATATGATTAACCATAGCTAACTATGAATTCAGATGCTGTGCATTAGACCAGCTCCTCAAAGTTTGAGAGCATTTAATATTATATATCGCTGCCATTTGGGCTAAATTGTTTTTTTAATGTACACAATATTACAAATTTAATTTGAGCCGTTTGAATCAGTCTGTAAAAAAGATTTGATTATACCTGAGTGTTCTGGCCCCGGCTTTTCCGTATCTCAGTAATCTTGGCGGTAATTGGCTGATTAGGCGTCTCACACTCCATCTTTGCCTCAGTTTCCATGGTAATGGTACAGGAGCTATTATAGATGAGAACTTCATCTCTTTCCACTTTAGGGCTGAAACGAGAGGGGAGGTTAAATGGGGTGTCATCAATCTTAATGAAATGCAATTATTTTTACTCTTATTAATCATTGCAAGCCATTAGCTTGTGGCAACTACAGGCCACCATTTGTCAAATTTTGCAAATTTCTGTAATTTTGTTTCCATTCTTTTATTGTTTATTTGTTTTCCCTTTATCTGCACACCCTGCAATGAAAATGCACATGGTAAATATCTTTCACTGAGGCCTTTCTCTTTTCCAGATCTATCAGGAACATTTAGCAAAAGCTTCTCCAAGCCCAACCGAACAAGCAATACACAGACAATACTTCCAGTTCCAAAAATGGAAGCAAATGTTGGGGAAAAAAATTTTTTTTTCTTTACCCCTTCTCTCTTCCTGTTCTTACACTCTGTTTGGGGAGTGAATTGCTGAATCCCCCCAGGGCAGATGGAGAAATTGGAAAACCCACACAACTGGCTAACTGGTCCCTAATTCCAACTGTGAAAAAATGAGCTCATTTAGGCTTTCAATTCCCTCTCCCCAGCTGATGGCAATGAGTCTCTGTTGCTAGCAGTGGAACATTAACTTAGTAAATTAATTAAACTTACTTAACAGCCCAGACTAAGGAGATTCGATATATGTGCCAGTTATACTACCAGCCACTCACTTTAAAAGTCCTCTTGCTTTAAGGAGAGAAACCAGAGTGGATTCAAAATGAAAAACAGCAGTGTAGCATTACAGAAAATCTAAAAATATGTGGTCCAGAGGAAACGAGAGCATGGAGTCTGCAGGCTATGGCCCCCAACAGGTGTGATATTTGCTCAAGAATAATCCTGGCTTTAGGCATTGTTGCAACTAGCTCCTAGATGATTAGTTATAATAATGCATGATATTTTGCACTTCTTAACAATTTCATATGTATGATCTCATTTCAGCCAGTAATGTAGGTAGAGGCGTAAAAAAAGTGTAACCCAAAGAGACCTGAGGATTTGCATAAAGTCAAACACGAAAAGTATGACAGCTCCAAGCTGAGGCTCCGGGGTCCCAACTCCTAGAGCAGTACTCCCAAGTTTTGATATGGAGCATCACGGCCAAGATGGCCGATCCCATGGGAAGACCAGGATTGGTGATGAAAAGGGCAAAAGGTCACTGCTTGAGAAACTATCATGTCGAACTAGATTTTTTCCAAATCAATGTCAAAAATGGTTTCTCCCACACTTTGTCAGAAGTAGTGAGCAGGATAACTATCACACCTACTTAATCTCCTCGTCTTCAGACTAGAATATTCTCAACTCCATATCCACCCAAAATATGACTCCCATACCCACTATCCTCTGGACCTACTGTACAGTGTCAATAATTTAACATTGTACAGCCCAGTTTGGCTGACCTTTGAGGTTGTGGTCTCCCCTTATCTAAGCCCTCCCCGCCATGGCACTTAATACTGTATTCGTTTTGTAGCCCCCCCAAGCTTAAATTGGAGAAGGAAATGGCAACCTACTCCAGTACTCTTGCCTGGAGAATTCCATGGACATAGGAGTCTGGCAGGCTACAGTCCACGGGGTCGCAAAGTCAGACACAACTAAGTGACTAACTTACACTTTCACTTTCAAGCTTAAATTAAGACGACAGTGAACTTGAAGTCTCAGAGCCACTACAATTTTCTGAGGAGCATTAGCATGCAGAGGTGAGGCTTGGAAGCTGACCGGCTAGATTCAAATCTCTAAATCTACCATCCATCTGACATTGTAAAAACATGACTCTCTAAGCTTTGGTTTATAAAGCACGTTTATAAAATGAAATTACTAATCATAAAGAACGTGTTTTCAAGAGGTATTGGGGCAGAAACCAACACAATATTGTAAAGCAATTACCCTCCAATTAAAATTGAATATATTTAAATAAAATAAGGTATTGGGGGATGGAGAAAAATGAAGCCAACAAACATATCTGTACAGAATCTGGCACTTGGAAGTGGTTGATAAAGTCAGCCCTTGTTAGTTTTGGGTGGTAGGGACGTTGGTGGTATTATTGTTGAAATGTCAATGTGGGGATTTACATTCATTGTTGTTCCAGGTCATCTCACTGGTGTGGACCCAGTGCTCAGATACATTTGGAATCTGAGCCTGTAACATAGCTACACATCCACTTAGCTGAGCCATCATCCAGAGGGTATACAAAGCCACAGCATTTGCTCCTGGAGTGTTGGTTGCACTCAAAGATTCAGTAAAGAAAAGAAAAGCAATTTAACTTCTAAATTAAAATATGATGGAATGTTTAGATACCTATGGAAATATGAGGAAGTAGAATGCAAAATTCACCTTCCCAGTGAGACACCTGACTTCAAAGCAACTCTATGTTTCTGCCAGGGCACTTCGGGTTTTGTAGCGAGACCCTTTCTTTTGCTACTGGAGGTAGGAGTAAAGGAGTGGGTAGAGTAGTTTAATAGAATAGTAGTTTCACCACTGCCATCGTAAATCTCTTATAATGTCACCAGAAAGAAAACAAACTTGGTTTCCCCCACCACCTTGTTCCTTGCAAATCGGTTCCCAGATTGTTACTTCCATTTCTGAAGGCTCACAAACCATCTGATTAATAATTCATTCTGGAATTTTGTCAGGGATAACACAAGCCTAGCTCTCTACATCTCCAGAATTCCCCTTGTTTTGCTTCTTAGGTGAGGGAAAGAATATTTGCTGTCACCTCTCCCTGTTCTGTGCTTCTCTCTCATGTTCATTTCCAGCTGTGGATCTTCACTCATATGACCAGGTTTTTTGCACTCACTATAGGATGATCTCAGATACTAAGAGAAGAAGCAACCAACCTCCTTTACAACCTTTCTTGGTCATGTGCTTCCACCTCCTAATGAGCCTTCATCTACCCTTTCTAGTTTCTTCAGCAGCAAATGTCAGAGTAAAATGGGGTAAATCACCCTGCCCTCCTTCCACCTGCCTGTAGTAATGCCCTCCAGTTCACAGTGGATGTTCCATTTCACTAGTGACTCCAGAAGCATGATATGTATCACCTGCCATCAGAAGCTCACTCTGGCTGACAGAGTCCTAGACCAACTAAACAAAGCCTGTTCCTTCAGCAAGTCCTCCAATAGCTGGTCCCCCAGTAGAAGGTCCTGCTGGTATCTGTCGATGTTGTAGCAAGGATCACTGTGGCTTTCCAGGCCATTCCAGAAGGAGACAGCCTGCTCCCCACAGTCTCAGACACATGACAGAAGAAGCAGATGTTATGTTGGGGCCACTGATCTTCCTGGGAAAGACCAGTGATCATGGTGTGGAAGCGCCCACCTCCTCCCTACCTCTGTGAAGTCAGGCATAGGCTTGCCCACCACAGCACCCCTGACTCTGTCTCCCATCATCCTGGGTCTCCAGGATGCTTCCCACTCTGTGTGCCTGCCTGTGCTTCCCAATAAAAGAATGAAGTGAAAAATATCATGTTCTTCTTGCTCTAAAAGAGTTAAAACCCCTTTCTGCTCCTTAGACTTTTTCACAACTTTTAGCTCATTATTTCTTTTCTCTTTTCCTTTCTGGTTATCTGACTAGAATACTTTTCATTAAAAAGCCATCACCAAGATGAGCAGAGACACCAGGATATCAACAATAGACTAACATTTGAAAAATTTCAAAGTTTCTTAATAATTACTATGCCATGTTTTCTTCCACAATCATCCTATGAATTAAGGAATGCAACTGGCTAGGTTTAAATATGGACATATGCATATGTAGAGAAATACACAGGTAGATTATATAGTGGGCATGCATATACACATGCACGCAAATATTTATTTTGACAGAATGTGGAAAGGATATTTGGTCCACATGGTGGTAGAGAGTTCTAGAATCTAAGTTTCCTGAGTCCTGACCTATTTCTCTTTCAGTTGGTCTGATCAGACCCAAATGTAAGCAGGTAATCTTGTACTCGCTCTCTAGGGGAGGCAATAAAAATACACGCTGTCATCCTGTCTCCCTCACTTAGCCTGAAATTGGTTCTTCCGTCTCATCTCCTGGACCCGCACAGCCCAGCCCAGCCTCTTGCTGCTGATGCTCACAACACAGCATCATGCTAAGTACACCATTAGTCAGAAGCCTTGGGTTCTAGCCCTGATACCACCAAGGCTTGACAGTGTGATTTTAGAAAGATACTTAGTCTATTCTTAGAATATAATCCAAACTCCTTACTATGGCCTTCAAGGTCTTCATGCCTCCCCAAGCTCATCTTGAGCCACTTTACTTTCTTCCTACCCTATTCCTGCCCTTCTGACCTCTAACAGTTCATGAAACTTGATGGGTCATTTGTACTTGCTTCACCCACTGTCTGACTCCATAATGACACTTGTCTTTAGCTCAGCTTAAAAGACACCTCTTCAGAGAAGTCTCCTCTGAGCCAAGCCAGGGAACCCATACCTGAGCATATATCTGGAAAAAATCATAATTCTAAAAGATACACACTCTCCATTGTTCACTGAAGCACTGTTTACAATACCCAAGACATGGAAGCAAACTCAACATCCATCAACAAATGAGTGGATAAAGAAAATGTGGTACATACATACAATGGAATATTACTTAGCCATAAAAATAATGAAATAATGCCATTTGCAACAACTTAGATGGACCTAGAAATTATCATACTAAGTGAAGTAAGCCAAAAGACAAATATCATAATCATATTTCTTATATGTGGGTATGGAGAGACAAATCAGGAGTTTAGGATTAACATATACACACAACTATATACAAAATAGATGACCCACAAGGACCTCCTGTATAGCACAGGAAACTCTACTCAATATCTTATAGTAATCTAAAAGAGAAAAGAATCTGAAAAGAATATATTATGTACATTTGAATCACTTTGCTATATACCTGAAAGTAACACAATATTGTGAATCAAATATACTTCAATTGTAAAAATAATTTAAAAATTAGCCTTTACTATTTTCTATCACTCTATAGCCCTTATCACAACACATGACCACCTTGTTTATTGTCTAGTCCCCTCCTGACCCTTAAAGATAGGCACTTCGCATCCTATTCACCAATGAATCACCAGCTTCTGATATAGTAACTAGAACATAGTAAACATTTGATAAATATTGGATGGATGGATGGATGGATGGGTAGATGGACAAATTGGGCATATTTTTGCCACAGATATGAATATCTGCCTTTACCAAATGACATCAAATTTATAGTGGTAGTGGCTGGCAGAGGAGTAACCATTTGATGAAATGGATCCCTTGTAAATATCCTAGAAAATAGTTCCCTGGGTTCACAAGCAGAATCCTAAGAGGATCAAGGTAAGCCTTTTAGCACATGATTTTCCTAACTCCCCTTGTATAATTTATAATGTGTTTTCTGATTAAGAAATTAGTACATATTCACTGAAAAAAATTACATAAAAACTCAATGATGAAAGCAAATATGATCAGTCCTCCAGCCCCATAGGGATAGGCACCCTCAGTGTTTTGGAACACTTCCTTCTAGTCTTTTCCCAAATACTTGTCATATGTGCCTACAGACACAGGTACTATGAACACTATCAGGATTACATTGATGCAATATTTTATAACCTGCACATTTCACTCCTTAATATATTGTAAGCATTTCTCTGTTTCGTTAAATATTATCCATCATGATTTTTCAAGGTTTCTTAGTATAAACACTTACTTCATTTCAGCTTTTTTGTTGTTGTTGTTATTATACCTAAAACTTCAAAGACGATAGTTTTTCATAAATATTACATATTTCTAACTGCTTTCTTAAAATCCTGAAAGTGAAGTTGCTGAATTAAAGTATGAAGAATTATAAGGTTATTAGTGTATATTGCAAATGATAGTCATAGATAAGGGCATAGTTTTTAGTAGGGTCTGAGGCTCAGTGGTAAAGAACCTGCCTGCCAGTGTAGAAGACACGGGTTTGACCCCCTGGGTCAGGAAGATCCCCTGGAGAAGAAAATGGCAACCCACTCCAGTATTCTTGCCTGGGAATCCCATGGACAGAGGAGCCTGGAGGACCTCAGTCCATGGGATTTCAAAGAGTCAGACATGACTGAGTGAATGAGCACAGGGCTCAGTTGCCCTCAGCCACCTCCTAGAGAGAAGAGAAGAACTCCAAAGAATAGCTTAGGGACGGAAATAAAGTTGTCGAATTCCGGGGAGCCAGGACCAGCTGACATACACTTGTTGGTGCCCAGTGTCAGCATGCTGAGATCCAGTCTCCCCTGAGCACCACCTGTAGCCCCATTTCCTATAAGCCCTAAGCAAGCTTTTCCCTGCTATTCCAGATAACAACCTCAAAGAGGCCCTTTCTTCCTCTCACTAAATCCAAACTCCTAGTGGCAAATTCACTCTAAACATGGACTGTCCCAGGACATCAGAAAGTCCAACTGCTGTGAAAAAGGCTGGTTCTTGCTTTTCCTCTGGGTAGTCGGTCTTACTTTTATTTTTTAACGAGGAAATAGGCCTTCATTAAATAATTGGATTTAAACCACTCTTGATAAGAAATAAAGAAGGACACTGGGCCATGTTCAGCACTAAAACATCACACTTCATAAAACAAGAGCTGCCTGTGAAAATGAAGTCAATCTAGAGCAACCGACATGGCCACATTTTTTTAAAAATTTGTTTAGAAAAGGTGGTTTTTACCTGGAAAGTTGTGGTATTTGTTTCTTAAGTTCAAAAAAAATCCTTATAAGCTTATAACTTCTAAATCCAAGATCTACAATCCTGCCTGTGCACCCCACTTCTTTTGAATAAACATTGTACAATCTGCTGGATTTCTCTACGACTTTTTCTCATACTTGTGAATCTGTTTGGAAAGAAAAGAAAAAGGAGAGGGGAAAAGAGCCTTCTGTTTTTCATAATGTCTAATCTTTTTCCCCATTGGCATTCACCAGATGTTGCTTCGGATCGGAAGATAAATATTAAAACCTAAGCAAGAACAAAGCGGGCTGTTTACTGGGCAGATTTTTCAGATGTTCTCTTGAACACTTGAAAAGACAGCAGACGCTTTGATATGCAGGCTGGCTGGAATCCACAATGGAACAGTCCCTCCGACAACAGCGCTGGCCCCAGGGCCAAGTCCACCAACCTGGAGTTCCTGATGATTCCATCAATCCACTGGCCACGCATTTGTGTGCAAGGTCAGGGAGGGAGAGGACTGAGTTACCTGATGAAGAGGCCTGAGAACGATGGAAGGATAGACTCTGTCCAATGATCTTGTGCCAAGAGGCATCGGGAACTTTCTTCACAGATGTAGAAGTAAGGCCATGATTCCGGCGAGCTCTCTGTCCCCACCGTGATGATCAAATCACAGTGCACATAGCTGCAGCTGGAGGTCTCGCAGTCCTCCTCCTCAGGCCTCAGGTCACACAGGGAAGCTAAGGACACTGCAGGAAATAGTCACTGTTGGTTTAGGTGATAACCACAGAAAGAACTGAAGGCCTCACATTGTTTCATCAACCAAGCCCATGTGCTGTACTTCGACCGATAGGAAAATAAACTTACTCAAATACTCTTCTTAAAAATCAGAGAAACAAACATCATATATTAATGCATATGTGGAATCTTGAAAAATGATACAGATGAACCTATTAGCAGGGCAGGAATAGAGACACAGACGTAGAGAATAGACATAATGGACACGTGGACATAAGGCTGGGGGAGGGGGGGGTGGGTGGAACTGAGAGATTAGGATTGACATATATACACTACCATGTGTAAAACAGACAGCTAGGAGGAACCTGATGTATAACACAGGGAGCTCAGGTCTGTGCCCTGTGATTACCTAGATAGATGGGATGGGAAGGGGGGGCAGTGGGACGGAGGTTCAAGAAGGAAGGGATATACATATACATACAGCTGATTCCCAGGTGGCACTAGGGGTAAAGAACCCACCTGCCAACGCAGCAGACATAAGAGACACGGGTTCGATCCCTGAGTCAGGAAGATCCCCTGAAGTAGGAAATGGCCACCCACTCCAGCATTCTTGCCTGGAAAATCCTATGGACAGAGGAGCCTGGTGGGCTACGTCCACAGGATTGCAAAAAGTCAGACATGACTGAAGCGACGTAACAGGCCTAGCTGATTTATGTTATCATACAGCAGAAACTCACACAACGTGGTAACGCAGCTGTGTGCTGTGCTGTGCTTAGCAGCTCAGTCGTGTCTGACTTGTTGTGACCCCATGGACTGTAGCCCACCAGGCTCCTCTGTCCATGTGGATTCTCCAGGCAAGAATACTGGAGTAGGCTGCCATGCCCTCTTCCAGGGGATCTTCCCTACCCGGGATCGGACTCAGGTCTTCCGCATTGCAAATGGATTCTTTACCATCTGAACCACCAGGGAAGCCCATGAATACTGGAGTGGGTAGCCTCTCTCTTCTCCAGGGGATCTTCCTGACCTGGGAATCGAAGTGGAGTCTCCTGCGTTACAGGCAGATTTTTTACCAGCTGAGCTACCAGGGAAGCCCAAAGCAACTATATCCCCAATAATAAATAACACATGTCCATGTTTGGAAAAAAACACCACAATATTGTAATTATCCTCCAATAAAATACATTAATTAATTTTTAAAAATCATAATACATACAGAAGGATACAAATCATGTTTTTATAAAATATGAATCATCCAAGTAAAAGAAAAAACTCATGTGAATGTACCACAGGATCAGCCAACATAAAGTCTAACACCGTCACGATGCTCGCCAATCTACATGCTCCTGGCCAAGTCTACCACTTCCTCCTCATTCTCAGAAACAACCACTAGACAGAAGGTGGTTGACTTTTACTTCCTTTTGAACTTTAGAAAGTTATACATGGCATAATATTCTTAGACCTGCTTTCTTCACTCAATATTATGTTTCCAAGATTCAGCCATATTACCACACATAACTGCTGTTCAAATGCTTTCACTGCTGTTCAACATTGCTTCATGTGAAAGTACTACAATATATTTGCCTATTCTGTCACCAATGGACTTTGGGAAATTTCCCAGTTTCTGCCACTACAAATATGTAATGCATTTTCTCTAGAGTATATGTTTCTAAGAAAATTGTTTGTGCCATTTTACTTTCCTATCTTTATGGGTTCCCAGTAATCCACAAAATTGCCAGCACTTAAGATTATCAGACTTAATTTTGGTCAGTCCAGTGAGTATACAAAAGCATCTCATTATGGCCTTAATTTGCATTGCCATCATTATTTTTTAGGTTGAACAGCTTTTTGTATATTTAGTAATAACTCCTATTTTCTCTTCTATGAACTTCCTGTGTAGGTCACTTGCCCCTTTGTTCTACTGGAATGCTTATCTTTTCCTTATTGATTTGTGCCATTTTATACTCTGAGTACTAATCCTAAAGAAATTATATGCTTATTAACACCTTCTCCAGGTTTGTGGCTAGACTTCTCATTCTCTTTATGGGATCTCTTGATTAACTGAAGTTCTTGATTTTCATATAGAGTTCTATTAACATTTCATAAAGAAGAAAAGCAACGATTTAAAGCTCTCTGACCCTGAGACCATTTCTTCCCAGGTCACGAGACACAATGTAAAAAGCATCACCAAGGCAGACTGGTAATAACTTTTAACAGGAGGATGAACAAGTCTGCCATTTCCTACTTCCTTTGGAGTAGGAAATGACAACCCACTCCAGTATTCTTGGATTCTCCAGTATTCTGCTTGGAGAATCCTATAGACAGAGGAGCCTGGCAGGCTACAGTTCACAGGATTGCAAAGATCTGGACATGACAAAGTGACTAAGCATGAACAAGTCTCTATGTGAGATGGTTTGGGAGTACCTCTGCCTGAAAACCTTAATCAAATAGAAAAAAAAAAAATTTCTCTAGCCTTCTACCTCAGGAGCTAGCCTGTTCACTCAGGTACAGAACACGTGTTATCAAGGACTATGAGCTTGAAGCCGAGACACCTGCCCATATCACACGACTGCAGGCAGCAAGGGATGAGGCAAGTACACAAGAGGGTTTGCCATTACTCATTCACACAAAAATAGTTACTATTTTTGCTGGTACATTCTGAAGCACCTGACATATAGTAGGTTCTGTGACTGTGTTCCCAAAGAATTATAGCAGTTAAAACGTCTGGAAAGTAAGACTCTCGCATGGACAGAGAAAACATGAGAACTTTGCAGTTAGTAAGCCGTAGGGCAAATAAAAACAGGCTTAACACCTATAAAATAATGAACTCATAATGGGTGATTAGGTGGGTACAAATTGACAAGGTGGATTATGATAAATGCCCAGTGCTGGGGATCAGAATCCATGAATTTTACTCAATTTTACTCAAGGTTCTGCCATGAAATATCTGTGTAACCTTAATCACTTTAGGTTTTCACACCTCACAGAAAAAATCAGTTTCCATGAAGAAGTCACATCATATAATTCAAGATATAAATGCAGGAAACCAAAAGATCAAATATCTTGCTGATTTTAAACAAATACCAAGTGTTAAACTGACAAGGTGCTGTAACAACCTATCATATGAAAAAGTAAAATTCTTCTTTCATCAGAAGTATAATTTGAGGGAAAAGTAAAGATGCATGCGTGCATGTTCAGTCTCTTCAGTCAGGTCCGACTCTTTGCAACCCTATGGATTGTAACCTGCCAGGCTCCTCTGACCATGAGATTCTCCAGTCAAGAATTCTCGAGTGGGTTGTCATGCCCTCTGCCAGGGGTTCTTCCCGATCCAGGGATCGAACACAGGTCTCCTGCCATCTCCTGCATCACAGGCGGATTCTTTACTGCTGAGCCACTGGAGAAGCCCAAAAGTAAAGATGAATGACCCCAAAGCAGGAAAAGGACTTTTTTAAAAGCTTCACCTTTAAAAATAAAATTTATTGAAGTATAGTTGATTTACAATACTATATTAATTTCAAGGATACAGCATAGTGATTCCATATTTCTACAGTCTCAGAAGAGAAATACCAAAATGTTTACTGATACAGCAGTTCCCAAGGTTGTGCATTTCTAACAGACTCCCAAGTGCTGCTACTGTTGCTGCTCCAATAATAATAATTTTTTTCAATAATCCTTCCATAATAATATAATTCTCGATAATAATATCATTGAGAAGCATTGTGTTAAAAGAACTGAAATTATTCAGCTTTCCCAAAGGCTTCCAACTGATTAAGGTGAAAAAAATAGAGTGGGGAGCATCAGGGAAAAGGACAGATTTCTCTGGAAAGAGTAACTGTGAAACACTTGAGGGGGTTACTGCTGTGAAACTGCCCGCTAAAAAAATCTTTTAAAGTATAACAGATTCTTAACTAACTTGATTCTATACAGTCCTTCCTGAAGGTAGGGGAATTATTAGCAGTTTTCAGCAATTTCTGAGATACATCCCTCTGACAATTTGATGTCCATTATATACCTACTTCTTGGGGGAAAAAATACATAATCATAGTCTGAAAATATTTTATTCAATTTCAGAGATTCATAGAATTCCCAACTTCCATCTTGGATCTTAAGTAAGAAGCCAATGGAGTAGGATTTCACAAGTTCCTCCCCATCTTTAGACATCTTTTAAAAGACTTATTTTTTAATGAAAAAGGAAAAGTCAAAGTATCTATTTCCCTGGAATAAATGAGCAGCCCTTGCACAATCAATGAGTGTTTGCTGACACCTAGTGGTAAGAGTAAGAGTCACAGCTTCTCACTCATTTTTCTCAAGAAATTTTGAAGTCTTTTTATAAATTTATAAGTCTTTATAAATTTATAAAATTTAACCAAATCTCATTAAATATAATAATTTATTTTATTCTCCTCCTATGAGTTATGAAATTCCCAATAAAACACAGCTTCTCTAACTCTGACTTCATGATTTTTAAGTTCGTACTTCTGGTTGAAACTGGTTGTCTTGAAATAATAGCAAGGGGTTGGCTGATTTAAACAGTGTATATGTGAAAGCTGCACCTTCCCCCAGGGGAAAAAAAAAACTGTAGCAGCATTTCTTAAATATTAGGACCTAGAAATGGTTGATTTTATGTTTCCCTGGTGACTCGGAGGATAAAGAATGCTCCAGCAATGTAGGAGACCCAGGTTTGATCCCTGGTTCGGGAAGATCCCCTGGAGAAGGGAGTGGCTACCCACTCCAGTATTCTTGTCTGGTGAATCCCATAGACAGAGGAGACTAGCAGGCTACAGTCCATGAGGTCGCAATGAGTGGAACACATCTGAGCAACTAACATTTTATGTTTCCACCATTTCCCAATTCCCTTATTTATTCTTTCATCAGACATTGATTTTGCACATCCCCTAAGCCAGGACAGCTCTATGCATAGGAGAGCAGAGAAACAGATATATTAACTTAAATTTTCTACCATATCCTAAATTTCCTACTGCAGAATCTTAAGTAGAATAATACTCTCATCTATAATGTTCTGCTTATATACATGATGATGATAATAAGACCCTCAGTTTCTGGTATTTTAAACAAGGGTGGTTTCTCCTCCCCTTCCTTTTCCCCCTCCCCTCCTTCCTCCTTCAGGTCTAAGACAATCCAGTGTAAACTGCCAGCACAGTAGTATTATACACCATGGAATTTTGGTCCAAGCTTAGATGAAGTGATGCTTTTATCACTGTAAGTCTTTTACCCACAGTCAAGTTGCTGACACATAAATTAGGAATATAACTTGAAGCATTATACAGAAAACATGAGGGTAGATGGTTTTTAAGTGCACGGGTACAAGATGTATGACTATGCAAACAATATAATCACATGGTTCAGCTGACCCTGTAGTGATAAATGGCAATTTCATCCCTGAAACATTCTTTTTCTGAAGCTCAGTGGGTAGTTAGTATGTGTTGTGAGCTTCATGGGAAAATCAAGCCTTGCACTTTGCATTCTAACCCCCCCACCCAACAAAGACACAGCTTCCCATGCCATATTTTACATGATGACTTCCAAGCTTAAAGGGCTTCCCAGGTGGTTCAGGGGTAAAGAATCTGCCTGCCAATGCAGGAAAGGCAAGTTCAATCCCTGGGATGGGACGATCACCTGAAGAAGGAAACAGCAGCCCATCCTAGTATTCTTTCCTGGAAAATCCCACGGACAGAGGAGCCTGGCAGGCTACAGTCCATTGAGTCAGAAAGAATTGGACATGACTTAGCGGCTAAACGGCAACAAACAACTACAACAAAGCTTAAAGCAATGAGAGATCATGGTTATTTTACTGAGTTATGGCTCAGATAATTACCTGGACTTTACAGAATAAAAGGATAATGTCAACATTGACCCTTTTGCCTATAATAAGATTCAGGACCTGAGCACACTAATGTGCAAGACATTTCCAGCCAGATGATGTAATCCCTTCACTAGTACTTCCAGTAGGCAGACATTTCCAGCAGCCCCACCTCAGGAGACCAAGATACTATTTTCCCCCTGATGCCTATGCTGCCAATGAAACTAGTATTCACAGCTCAGAATCACTTACCCCATCATCAGAGAACTGCTGTCAAGAAAACATGTGATAAATTTTTTGCTGTTATTAATACGACAAAAAAAGCTATTATGAGTCATCTTAATAGGCGGTCCTCAGTACTAACTACCATTTTAAATGGGAATCAGAGAAAACTTTTTCCACAGAAACAAACAGAAAAATTGAGTCAATAGAGCATGAATTACCCCCAAAAATGGAGTTAACCAGAGTATGCTAATTTTACACCTACTCTTTCTAAAACAAATATGGTGTTTTTACTGACCATCGAGGGGCAGAACCAAGCAGCTGAAGGCAGACACCGTCGCATTAGCCAAGACTTGGCAGGGAGCACCACACACGGCAGCTGAGATGTTCCCGGGAGAAAATCCTGCTCCAAACACATGCACGAGCCTCCCGCCTAGGTGGCCTTTAAAGACAAAATGAGGAGTTTACCATCACAGAGGCAAATTTTTTTTTTCTTAAAATTCAAGCCCATGCTTTCTCGCTGCCCACCCTTCTTTCCATGCCCACCGAAGTCCACACAATTGGCCTGGGATCCCCGATTTTCTCAGTTTCCTCTCACTAAGCTCTGAGCCCTGAAGCCCACAGCCCTTGTTCTGTCAAACACCAGTCATACTCAACAACCTATGAAGAGTGTCATGATTCTTATATATGAAAATAATGCTTTATAGTTTATAAACTTTTTATACAGGAGAGTACACAATGAAAGTAAAACTTCCATTACCTACTTATCTCACTCCCCAGAAAAAGACATGTCTAGTTTCTCATGAATCCTTTAGGATTTTCTAAAGCATATAGACTATTTTACTACAAACGGACCATTCTACACATAGCATTCTATGACTTATTTTTTTAATTAGAAATGCAGCATAAATATCTTTCCAAGTCTATATACATATATATATATATAGAGAGAGAGAGATCCAGCTCTTCATTTTAATAGATACTTAGAATTCCATTATATGATTAGGCCCTAATGTATTGAGCAATTTTCTTGTTTTAATGAAAGTAAAAGTGAGTCACTCAGTTGTGGCCAACTCTTTGTGACCTGATGGACTATACAGTCCTTGGAATTCTCCAGTACAGAATACTGGAGTGGGTAGCCTTTCCCTTCTCCAGGGAATCTTCCCAACTCAGAGACTGAGCCCAGGTCTCCCACATTGCAGGAGGATTCTTTACTAGCTGAGTCACCAAGGAAGCCCAAGAATATTGAAGTGGGTGGCCTATCCCTTCTCCAGTGGATCTTCGCAACCCAGGAATTGAACCTGGGTCTCCTGCATTGCAGGCAGATTCTTTACCAACTTAGCTATCAGGAATAGTTCCATAATATCTCCGCTTTTGCAGCAATTAAAAATGCTGCAATGAACTATACACTTATATGAATAAAAATGATGCAAACTCTTAGACATGGAATTACTAGGTCAACAGAAAAGTAGATTTTTAGTTTGGAACGATATGGCCAGACTTCTCTCCAAAATAACGTTGCCCTAGTTTACACTCCTATCTGCCATGTAAGAAGTATGCCCATCAAATGGGTAAAGTCAGGACAATATGTTTTGCTTCAGTATGAGAAGCAAAAGTATAAAGGAAAATGCCAGTTGAAATCTCTAGTCCATGCTAAGATTCCAGCTTCTCCCACCTTCATGTCAAGTCTAGGTGGTACTTACACAGCCACCTGGCCAAGTTTTTGCCTGGGTACATTCTTACCCCTGCTCTCTTGCCTAAAAATCATGGATTCTTAGAGAGTTGAAAGGAGAACTAGTGAGGAAAAACCAGCCCCAACCTTTTATCAAATAAAAATGCTAAGGCTTAAAAAAGTTACCCAGCTAAGATAGTGACAGACTTAGAAACAAGCCCCAATCCCTATAGCATCTCACCCAGTTGAGGTCGGACACATTTGTTCCAAAAAATGGATTGGTACTTCATCAAAGATCCTGCTCCATGACTTCTTCTATACTTTCTGCATCACAATCACATTTGAACTATCTTAAGTGTGTTTATGTGCTAAGTCACTTCAGTTGTGTCCAACTCTTTAGGACCCCATGGACTGTAACCCACAAGGCTCCTCTGTCCATGGGGTTCTCCAAGCAAGAATACTGGAGTGGGTTGCCATGCCTCCTCCAGGGTATCTTCCCCACCCAGGGATGGAACCCACATCTCTTATGTCTCCTGCATTGGCAGGTGGGTTCTTTACCATTAGTGCCACCTGGGAAGCCCCATCTTAGGTGTAAGAAGACATTAAGGGAACAAAAACCCAAACCTTCACTGTAAGAAAAGGCAAAGCACACTGCAGTATATCTAAAAAGAGAGAAAGTTCAACCAATGCAGTTATGCTGCACAATTGGCCTGTTATTGATGGAGTATGAATTCATCTGTGAAATAGTACAAAATGATAAAAATTAATCATATTTAATACATTTAAAACAATTCAAATTGACAAATAGGTCTAAAAATAGATGAAGGCATTTATGCTCTACTTAAATGATCAAATTATGAGCTCTTACAAATGGTATTATTTAATTTAAAACACAAATTAAAGCGGGTTAATGCATCAAATTAAAAGACAATCAAACACTTAGAGAATATGCACAATCTTCTCAATTAAAAAAAAAAAAGCCTCATAAATGGAGCATGACAAACTTTTAGGAGGCAGCTGGGACTGTAAGAGGCCAACTGGCTTCTCTCTTCTTCTGTCGTTCAGACTGATGCTGATTTCCTACCTTGTGAGTGAGTGGTGATAGGAGCTATTAATCCACTTACATAAAGGAAGCTCTCTGCCTCATCTATCTGACTTACCAAAGTTCTCGGTCACTGCTGCAATGGTCACTCTGGAAGTGAACACCAGGACAGACGAGGCCCACCCTCTCATGCGGTCGTAACCTCTGACTTGGTACTCCCCGGCCGGAAGGGATGGGACCACACAGTGGAGAAGGGTGTGGTTGCCAGAGACACCCACACAGGGGGACATCCCAACAAAAATGTCTACATTTGTAGCTCCTGAGATCCGAGCTACCGAAAAGGTTAAGACATCATCAGTCTGAGAAACAGAGAGCAATTCGGGTGTGAAGGCACTGCTGTAACCAATGACTCCCACCTTATGGGAAAGTCCATCTACCTCTATGTCCAGGGAAGCAGAGCCATTCCCTGCAGGAACAGCACACTGGATAAGCTCAGAGCCAAGGCTCACCATCAGGCAGGCCTGCTGGCCAATGTAGACTAACGTGGAGTTCAGTCCCTTCAAGGCTGTGCCCTCCAAGGTCAAGAGGCTTCCACCATGGATGCTGAAATTCTTGGGGAAATAATGAAACACTTGAGGCAAAACATGGAAGTGTCTGGAAAAGTTACCAGAACAGGCGTACCCATATCTTGTATGAAAAACAGATAGGTAATGAAGTCCAGGGGACAAGTCACTTATCCAACACGCCACGTGGCTTCTGTTGTGGAAAGTCACAGTGCAAGCAAGACAATCATCCACAAATACCAATGACTCATCAGCCGTGATACCTAACCTCTGACCCTTAATCAGCAGTGTGGTCAGAGACCCATTGATGTTTGTGGTCCAAGCATCCACAATAGAAGTTGTCTCTTCACCTAAGAAAAGAGTGCAATTCCCCTGACACGTGCTGGGCAGTCCATTCACCAGGACAGTGACATTCAGGGTGAAGGAAGCACCAGGCAAGGGGTCACCCATGGGGGTAATCTGGCAGAGAACTATCTGGTCGCCAAAACTCAAAATCACACAAGTAAAGGGACCCGAGAGGTCAACCTCCACTGACCCCCTGCTGGAGTGGAGAGCCAAGCCCCTCACTGTGAGAACAGTCCCTCCACAAGTGGACCCACGTGTTGGGAAAATGGCGGTTATCTGAGGCGTCACCACACACTGCTGGGGCACCGCAGACATGTCAGCAAACCCCATCTGCCTCTGGTGTATTTGGAGAGGATAGAGGCCGGCCTCCAAAGTGTCAAGAGGAAAAGCGCACCCAGCCAGGCTCAAGTTGCTCCCGGGAGATGGGGTCTGGAGATCACAGCTCAAGTTACCCAGAAGGACCACTGAGTCGGAGAGATTCCGTCCCTCCACACAGAGCCTCAGGCTGTGATTCGTGACTTCTCCTCGCGTGGCAGTGACCACTGGTGTTGCTGCCGCCTCATATGTGAAGGTGAAGCCCTTCCCCACCAGGTGAGGCGAAGGTTGGTGGGGGAAGGGCTTGCTGCCAGCCCAGACCTCCACGGGGACTGGGGCGCTCAGCGGCAGGGCGGCTGGCGGCGGGGTCTCACACCAGACGTTGGTCTCTGTTGAGTTCACAATGTCACAGGACAGATTGCCCACCAGCACCCAAAGCAAAGTTCGGTCCCTGCTGAACCCTCTTCCTGAGATGCTGAGGATGGTTCCACCTGAAGCACAAATATTGAGAAAAAAAAAAAACTGAGAAGCTGGTATTTCAGAACTAGGAACTCACAGCAGCTGTGTGAGCCCCAGCACGACTACGTGAAAGGTGGGGTGTTGGTTTCACCAACACCCCACCAGTGTTAAATGTATGACCATTTTGGCAGGAGTCAGATGGGCTGAAATTCACATGGCAGTAAAGCAACACAAATTATTCTATAAGAAGAATGTTTATAAAATTTAAAACAAAATATATTTTCAAGTATATTTATAGATCCTAGACAACTTCAACACTAATGAAAAATCAAATTTCTTGCAGTGCTCTCGTCATCTGCTATATTATCGTACATGCTATTCTACTTTATTCTATATATTACTATGTAGAAAGAGTATATGTATAATTCATATATACATATACACAACATATACATTAATAAAAAATCAAATTCTCTAGTCTTCTTATCTGTTATATTAACTGCCCTATTATTCCATATTATTCTCTATATTACTATGCAGAGTATATGTATATAGCTCTACATATGACCAAACTAGACAGCATATTAAAAAGCAGAAACATTACTTTGTCAACAAAGCTCTGTCTAGTCAAAGCTATAGTTTTGTCAGTAGTCATGTATGCATGTGAGAATTGGACCATAAGGAAAGCTGAACACCAAAGAATTGATGGTTTTGACCTGTGGTGTTAGAGAAGACTCTTGAGAGTCTCTTGGACTGCAAGGAGATCAAACCACTCAATCCTAAAGGAGATCAGTCCTGAGTGTTCATTGGAAAGACTGATGCTGAAGCTGAAGCTCCAATACTTTGGCCACCTGATGCAAAGAACTGACTCACTGGAAAAGACCCTGATGCTGGGAAAGATTGAAGGTGGTAGGAGAAGGGGATGACAGAGTATGAGATGGTTGGATGGCATCACCAACTCGATGGACATGAGTTTGAGCAAGCTCTGGCAGTTGGTGACGGACAGGGAAGCCTGGCATGCTGCAATTCATGGGGTCACAGAGTTGAACACAACTGAGCACCTGAACTGAACTGAACTGATATTCAGCTTACACATTGATGAAAAATTAAATTTGTTGAATTCTTCTACTTATCTTCTATATTAGTCTATATAATGTTTCAGTAATCCATATATTATATAGTCATATGTATATTTGTATGTGACATATCAAGAGCCACTGAAACATACTTGTGATTTTGCTGCCATAGTCATATTGTCTCACTTTCTAGTTTAGGGCCAATCAAACCCTATCTACAGGACAGGGATGGGAGCCACGTACCCCTTATCACCAAATCAGTGGTAAAGTAAAGCAGATTTAAAAAGGATTATACTATATTCAAAAAGGGTAATGTACCTACTATAGAACACAGGGAACACTTCAATACTCTGTAATGGCCTACATGGAAAAAGATCTAAAAAAGAGTGGATATATGTATATATATTCACATTACTGTATACCTGAAACTAACACAACATTGTAAATCAACTATACTTCAAAAAGAAAATTCTAATGAATTATGTGCTATTTCATACACTGTCATAATGATTATCATATGCAACTATATAGCTTTCTTTTTTTTTTTTGCTGAAGATGAATAATTTTCTATACTTCTCTATTTGTCCAGTCCTGACATCTCCCATATTGGCATTTGTGTTTCTTTTTCTTTTAATTAGTGAAGTATAGTTGCTTTACATTGTTGTGTTAGTTTCTGCCGAACAACAAAGTGAATCAGCTATTCGTATAAATACATTCCCTCTCTCATGGACCTCCCTTTCACCCCCTCCTTCCCATCCATCTCATGACTCTGTCTGGTCCTTCATTCACATCCCAGAGCAAGTAAAGACGTCAGAGACTCATGTCTCCTCTCCTTGCATAAGCAGTATCAAAATGGCTAACTCAGGAAGCTCTTCCCTTGTTTTCTGTTTTTTTTTTTTCAATTGAACTATAGTTGATCTACAATATCATGCTCATTTCTGGTGTACAGCAAAGTGATTTAGTGATATGTACTCAAGATGTGCCACTTTTTAGATATTTCAGCCTCCTTCCATTTAAAAAAAAAAAGAAAAGGAAACCAGGCATATCTCTTTTTCATAAAAATTCTTTAATTTCCTGAACTCACTGGGCTAAAGAATTCTGAGTTTCACACTCTCCAAAGTACACCACTCAGTTCCCAGGGCAAGGAAAAGTGCCTCTCCCTGCAGCCCCATCTCTGGTCTCACTAGTTAATTAATCCAGGAACAAAATCTGAACATCCAGGGAGTAGACTTACAGAATAAATGAAACCAGTCAGGTCAGAGCCACTCACCCACAATGGACCCACAGCAAGGCTGGATGCTAAAGACTTCTGTGATGTACTGGATGTGAAGATCCACCCTACAGAAAATGGGGAAATGGTTATGAAATAACTGAAAATCAGAAGAAGAGAAAAGAAGGCACAAAACAGCAGAGATGTGTATATTGGAGGAGAAGAAAAGAGAAAGGGGGCTGTGATGCAAAGCACATGAGATCAGCACTGCCCACCAGAGAAAGAGGGAAATGATGTAGAAGAGAATCTGAGGCGATGTTTTCCTACACCAACACCAGGTGGGCACATCAGTCTCCCTGAATTTAGCTACTCTCTGGAATGAAGTGAGGGAACTTCCAGAGAAATGCTGGGCAGAGAGACTTCAAGGCAAAGAGGACTGAGAGCAGCTTGTACAGTAATTGACGGCATTTACTCAAAGCCCAAGATACAGTCTAATTAAAGGTCTTAGTGAAATCAGTCTCTTATTAATCACAGATTCTTCCTCCTGATATAGAGGTGCATACCCCACCCCAGTCAAATCAAGAGACATGACATCTCAGCTCCAGAAAGTTCTCCTTTCCCCAACTAATAAGCCAAAAATTAGACTTGAGAGTGAACTGTCCTGTAGGATCTCTAAAATTTGTTCAAATTTTAGGATTCTCGTGTGTTTATCTCTTAACTTCAGAGGAAGAAGAAAAAAATAATGACCTAATTCAAAGCTAGAATTCTTCAACTGAATCATTAGACCATCAGGAGAGCTATAATGAATGGCAGGAGTCCACCTCACCCTTGTGCGTGAATGTGGACTCCATTGATGGAGACTGAGATTCCATGGAGCCCGGCAGGCAGCGGGGGGAGCACCACTTTCAGGCCCTGAGCTGTCTGTGCTTGGACCCAAGCCCTGGTGTCCCCAATGCGGACTTCAGCATCCAGATCTGTGTGGTTCACTGGCAGCACCATTCCAATGGAAAGGATCTCACCTCCTATGTTGAAGAAAATCCATTAGCCCCTGTGAAGTGGATTAGTGGTTCAATCATGTATTCAATTCTAAAACTATCTTTCTGGATTAAACACGTGGTCAGCACTGTGCATAATACTCTAATCAAGAGTTTTAATGTCAACATAATTATTTTTCATGAAACTTACAACTCTTTTAATGGAGATACAGCCTATAACCTCAAGGGCACAGAAAGCAAAATTGTCAGAATGATTATATTCAAGAAGCACTAGTTCATCTCAGTATAAAGGCAAATCAAGTAGTTATGATGGTCTTCATAATCAGAAAGTAACACTTCATGACTTCTTTTTTAGCCTCTACTTCTCTGAAGATGAAAATCTAAAACTCTGTCTCCAGTATGCACTGAGCCCTATAGCAATGCTATATATGCATTCAGTCATTCACAGGGAAGCCTGGCATGCTGTGGTCCATGGGGTTGCAAAAAGTCGGATACAACTGAGTGACTGAACAACAACAATTCACAATTATAGAGTCCTTTCACCTATACTATCCCATTTGACCCTCACACTGTCCTGATAACACTATTTGGACAGTTAGCAAAACCAGCATTTTGCTTTTGAGGAAACCAAGGCTCAGAAGTCTAGGTCTCAGAGATGATTAATGGAAATGTGAGGGCCTGATCCCAGTCTTGTAAACATCTCAATGCCTTTTTAGTGTATTAGCAACTATACTAAAATTCCAGGTATACTATGAGCATTCACTGTACATGAATAAAATGAATACACTTCATCTCAAATATTTCTTGAGTATAAAGAAAAATATGCCACAGAGGCATAAAATAAGTTAAATATGGCCCCTGCCCTCAAAGAACCTCCAAAGTTAATAAAAATAGGTGCCAAAAAAGCTTCAGAACAAGACAAGCCACAAAGAGGCAGAAATTAGGCATGGCATTGTTCAAATCAGAGCCACCGTCTGACTATCAAGAAAGGCCTTGTGGGCAAGATGGTGCCTGAAATTCAATTTGAAAAATAAATCCCCATAGGGACTGATAGAGAGTCAAGGATTTACAATTTGATTCTAAAAACTTCAGTTTTACCCAAAGCTTTTCCTTTTGTAGCAATTTCTCATTTAATCACCCAGTGACTTGGAGAGAAGGAAAGAGAATGGAGTGACTTCCTGGAAGACCAGGTACATGTGGATACAGGTAAGGATCATATGGAAAGAGGCCAAGTTAAAGATGGTTCTGTGGCTGAAGATGAAGAAAGCTAACTTCATTTTCTTCCCTGTTCCACACCCTCTTTACTTCTTCCTGTCTTCCCAGCCTTGTTTCTACTCTCAGGTCTGAAGCCTCAGTGTAGTGAGTACAAAAATTTCAGGGTTGACTGAGAAGTCATGATCACAAGGTGGCCATAGCATAGAACAAGATTTATAGAGATGGTGCTTTGACAGGTTCCATCGGTGGGGAAATCTGCCAGCTGGAGACCGTCCAGAAGCATCAATCAGAGACTGCCACCCAGAAGAGGAGAAGGGCAAAGAGCTCGTAGGGGAGAAAGAGATCAGAGAGACAGCTTCTATGTCCCTCACATAGTGAGCCACTCAGCACCACAGTGGGTCGTTTCTGGGTCAAAGGGATCTGCAGGGTGTAATGGCTGAGTCCCCCAGGCTGATCTGATCTATGGCTATCAGATGTTAAACACACTTTTGTAGGGTGTGTAAAGCTGACAGGCTATAAAAGGTCAAATTCTTTCCAATTCTTTCACACCCAGCTGTGTGAAAGAAAGAAAGAAAGTGAAGTCACTCAGTCGTGTCCGACTCCTTGTCATCCCATGGGCTGTAGCCTACCAGGCTACTCGGTCCATGGAATTTTCCATGCAAGAGTATTGGAGTGGGTTGCCATTTACATCTCCAGGGGATCTGCCCAGCCCTGGGATTGAACCCAGGTCTCCCTCATTGCAGGCAGACACTTTACTATCTGAGCTGCCAGGGAAGCGCCCCCACCCTAGACCCATAAGCATGGCAACCCACCCATTTTCACCCAGCTGTGAAAGAATTTGAATTTGGCATTGCCAGAGTTTTCAGCTGATGGATCCCAGTCTGCTTAAAGGAGGAAGTCACATGGGACCAGTGTACAGAGGTCATCTTTGACCCATTTATTCCACATACAGTATCTGGCAGAATGATGGAATTCACTTTGACAAAGCATTTATTGAGTGCTTACTCTATGTTAGTTCCTGGGTTGGCTAGGTACTGTTACCTAGTTTATCTCCATTTTTCCCAATCGCCTTGAAAGGATTATTCCCACCTAACAACTGGAGGCACTAAAAATAAAGAAAGCTAAGGGAGTGGTCCAATAGCAAAGATTCCATGCTCCCAATGCAGACAGCCTAGGTTTAATCCCTGCTCAGGGAACTAGATCCTTCATGCTGCAACTAAGAGTTCTCATGCCATAACAAAGATCCTGAGTGCCACAACTAAGAACACATAAATAAATATTTAAAATAAACATGCCAGCACATTTTTCATTAAAAAAAAAAAGCAAAAACATTAAAGTAACTTGCCCAGGGAGTGTTTAAGTTCGTATTCATTCAAATCTAGCGCTGATGACAAAAACCACACTAATCGTCCCTCACATCAAACTCTTCCTCCTCCTTCCCCTGCTCCTCTTCCTCTTATTTCTTCTTGACTCTGTTGTCATCATCAGCATCTTCTTGATGGAGATATATATTAATACCCTCCAACTTTCAAAAGAGACTTTCCCAATAGGGTACCCCTCACTTGGGGTTTTATAACATGTTCTTTATTCTGCCTGTAGAAAGATCTCAATGCAAGTAGAAATCCTGCAAATAATGCATCATGTTGTATATATCAATAACATGAACTCCTTGGGCTCTTGGTCAATTGTCAAGCTAATATGAGATGCCTTTGAGGCACTGATGCAATGTATTTATTCTTTTCATTATAGGTGGGAAATTTTATTAAAAGCCAAAATCACTGAAATCTGAATAGAACACAGGGCTCCCTCCTCCCTTTTTTACTTCGTTGGGAAGAATCTATACCACTAAGGAATTTTACACACTTTGGTCGCCTCAGGCAGCAAATTCTTCTTCTGCACTATCTGAGCTGAATAATATTGAGAAGCTAAAGGACACCTCCCTTTATTTATGTACTCTTGAGCAATGGAAAATGAAAATAGTACCAGAAGGATAGAGTCCAGGCTGTTTCTTTGGGAAATTTGATGGTCTTGTATAATAAACCCTTAGACATGTCTGCAATAAACACTGTCATCTGGCATCCAATTAACCAAAACACCATGTTACCTGCTACTTTTCCAAATCTATACAGACATGATAATAAATTATCATAATTCCATCCTGTTGTATCATCTAAATCATCAAAGATTAAGTCATTTAATGCAGTTGGAATGTTAAAGAATTCATTTTTATATACATGTTTCTCAAGGAACAAGTTCATCAGAATATACTATTCTCTAATCATATCAAATAATGGCTTTAATAGGAACTGCTGCCCCAAATGCTATTTTACAGTAAACTATAAGTGACTGGGTGCTTGGAATCTGCAACCAGACTGCTTGAGTTCAAATCCCTGCTCTAGTACTTACTACAGGTAACATCTTAGACAAGTTACTTATTCTCTCTATCCCTTAGTTTCCTAATCTGTAAACTGAGGCTAATAATTCTATCAATTAATGACAAAGATTAATTCTAATTATATGTCTGTGCTATTATTATTGGCACATGATAGGTGCAATAAACATTTACTGAATTTTTACCATTGAATTCCCATTTTCAAGATAGAAATGGTTCTCAATTTTACAGAGAGAAAAAATTATATAAGGAGATTTATTTAATGATGGCTAAGATGAGAAAGAGCTTCCCAGGTGGCTCAGTGGTAAGAATCTGCCTGCCAGTGCAGGAGATGCGGGTTCAATCCCTGAGCCAGGAAGATCCCCAAGAGGAGAAAATGGCAACCCACTCCAGTATTCTTGCTTCAAAAATCCCATGAACAGAGGAGCCTGGTGGGCTACAGTCCATGGGGTTACAAAGAGTCAGACAGAACTTAACAAGTGAGCACACAAAAATGAGAAAATCAGTCTCCAGGTTTTCAGAAAAATAACTTCCATCCAAAATATAATACTACCTTCATTAAAAATTAATAAGGCCATTGTTTGCCTTTCTTATAAGATCAGTGGTCTAAAATGAAAAGATCCTCCAGGATGAGGTATTTTACCTGCTATGCTGCTTCCATTTCTGCTGAGAGACATGATTACTGGATTTAAAGAGGAGACATATGTAAATGCCATGGCAAGAACCACAGAATGGTCCCCCAAGATAACAGTCACATTCACAGTAGGTCCATCTTCCCCCTGAAAATTAATTTTTAAAATCAAAATTCTGTAAAATAAGACTGACGTGAGTGAAGTCCATATAGAACTAGCTTAAAAGATATATTTCAAGAAAATTGTTTTTAAAGAATATACTTGCTACTTTCAAGTCTCTTTCTCTCTCTTTCTCTCTCACACACAGTGACTAGTACTTAGACTAGGTAAGTGCAGTATCTAACAGATTAAAGACTAAATAAGAATGATTTGCAATTAACACATCAATTGGTTCTGAAAAAAAGAGCAATTTCAAATAAACATCTATATCTTGCTAAACTATCCACCAAGTATGAGCATACTTTCAGACATTTAAGTACTCAGAGAACTCCCCTCCCACATTTTCTGTCTTGGACTATTTCTTACAGATATGACCTCAAAAAATAAACAGTAACCAAAAAAAGGAGAAATAAATTCCAAGAAACAGTGAATCTATTCAGGAGAGCAATCAAGGGAAACACTAGGATGAAACCTGTAAAATAAATCTGGAAATCACCAAGTTAAATTGAAGCAGAAGAGAAAGCGTCAAGAACAAAGAGCAACTGATATAAAGGTTTTTTTTTAAATACAGAGTATTTTCATTACAAGGAAGACATGTAACAAAAAAAAAACTCTTAAGAAAAAACAAACTATAAAAAAATATATTGCCTGATTCTACCATTATCATTTAAATAGTTTAATAATGTAAATATGGTTTATTTATTTAACCAAAAAATGGTTCTGTAACTATAACCAAAGGAATTGAAAGTAGTTGTTTCAGAAAGGGGGACTTGAAGAATGGGGAAGTGTGGTAGGAGAGAGTGAGATTGTTTATCATTTTCTTTTGAACTTTGCATGCATTGCTTTGTTCAAATTTAAAAGTTGATTTTCCTAATATTTATTCTCTCTAGTGAAAGAAATTCAATCAGCAAAAATTTTACCCATTAAAATGGTCAATATATACTAAAGTGCTGATACTGAATGTTAGCCAACGGATCAGAAAGCAGGCACCCATGTGACGATGAGAGTATTAATTTAAAAAGAGTTTCAGACAACTGGATACCTGTGTCAAACGCTTTATATGTCTGTGCTTTTATATTGGCACAAGGTGAGTATGCAATAAATATAGCAAACTTTGGAAATTATCTAAATGTCCAATAACAGGAAATGAATTACAATACAAACATATGTTAGAATTGCATGCAGTTTATATATAAAAGCTAATATTTCATAATATTTGAATAACTGGATGATATTAAAAATATGAGACCAAAGATCAAAGATTATTCTGAACTCTCTCTTCTTCCAGAGATCTTTACTGTTTGGCAGACAGACTTCTTTGTGGATCACGGATGTACTAGGAATGTTGATGGCACTGAAGTGAACTCTGAATAGGAGGTTCAAGCTCAGCTGTGAGCATGACTCTTTCCCACAGCACTAGGCAAGGGCCTGGACCCAAACCTCTTATGCCATCTATGAGACAGAACCAACTGAAGACGGATGAGAATGCTAAGGGACTTGCTTCTAAGGGAACAGGAGAGCAGTAGGGAGTAACTAGGATTAACTAAGCTATTTATTTCATAGGAACCAGACATTCCAGGGCTAAGCAGTGGCTCAGACAGTAAAAAATCAGACTATAATGCAAGAGACCTATCCCAGGGTTGGGAAGGTCCCCTGGAGAAAAGAAGGGCTTCCCAGGTGGCGCTAGTGGTAGAGAAGCTGCCTGCCAAACAGGAGACCCAGGTTCGATCCCTGGGTCATATAGATCCCCTGGGGGAGGGCATGGCAACCCACTCCAGTATTTTTGCCAGGAGAATCCCATGGACAGAGTAGCCTGGCGGGCTACAATCCATACGGTTGCAAAGAGTCAGACATGACTGAAATGACTTAGCTTGCATACATGCAGATATTCTAGAATATTCCAAGTTTCACCAATCCCATCCATGCCAGAAAACAACATTGCTGATGAAAACTAAGTTGTTTGCTTGAGAAAGAAGCAAAATTATAAGATATATGTCTTGCAAACAAACACTCAGAATGTACACTAGATTAATGTATTTATTCAGTGGCACTAATATTCATTAAGAGTGTGGACTGGGACAGTCTGGTCATTTTCTTTTGAAAGATATTAACTGATGCTAATTACAAGCCACATTCGTGGGGTCAGCTTCCCACTTCATAGCAGAAGTGCATCCATGTAAGCAATATAAGTAAGCATGCTCTCATGATAAAATCATGCCAGTTAACTTAGTTCTAAGAAATGATCCACTGAGAACCTCACACATAATTAACTACACATTAATAATTATCATCTACCCAGAATGGAGATGTCAAAAGAGTCCACTTACTTTGGATGGAACTTTGCACTGGATTCTTCGTGAGTTGCTTGTAGTAACATTAATGACACAAGACTGAGATCCAAATAACACCAGGTTAACATTATCCAACCCAGAGCCTCGGATGGTGGCCCAGAGCCCTCCTGTAAAGAAGCAACACTTTCAGATGGAACACACAGCTGTGCTAGTAGACAACAACTAATTACCCATAAGACACCATGGAAAATTACTCAGCCATCAAAAAGAATTCATTTGAATCAGTTCTAATGAGATGGATGAAACTGGAGCCCATTATACAGAGCGAAGTAAGCCAGAAAGATAAAGACCATTACAGTATACTAACACATATATATGGAATTTAGAAAGATGGTAACGATAACCCTATATGCAAAACAGAAAAAGAGACTCAGATGTATAGAACAGACTTGTGGACTCTGGGAGAAGGCGAGGGTGGGATGTTTCAAGAGAACAGCATTGAAACATGTATATTATCTAGGGTGAAACAGATCACCAGCCCAGGTTGGGTGCATGAGACAAGTGCTCGGGCCTGGTGCACTGGGAAGACCCAGAGGGATCGGGTGGAGAGGGAGGTGGGAGGGGGGACCGGGATGGGGAATACATGTAAATCCATGGCTAATTCATTTCAATGTATGACAAAAACCACTGCAATGATGTAAAGTAATTAGCCTCCAACTAATAAAAATAAATGAAAAAAAAAGAAAATGCAAAGCAAATAAAAGTAATTTTTGTTTATCTGAAAAAAAAAACAACTAATTACCCATAAGAGAAATAGGTGAAATAAAAATATGAAGCTGCATAGTCAAAACACAAGGCATGTTCAAAATGCAGAAAGAGACTGGAGTTAAAGATATAAACTACTAAATAAGGTAGGAGATACAGTGACTAGAGGGAAGAGAAAGGGAGATATTCAAGAATAAAACATAAGGATACAACATAGTCATGGAATGGAGAAATAAAGAAAAATGGTTTCCAAAAACTCTTTCTGCTCAAGATTTTTAAATACCATCCCTGTCAATTCTATAAAACTTAAACTCTTTCCCCAAGAAAAGAGCATAAGAGAGGAAGTATAAAATGGTAGAAAGAACAGGGTCCCAGAGTCAGGGCCACAGACTACTCTGCCACTTATAGCAGGTCATTTGCACTATTGTCCCTGAGTTCACTGGTCTCATCTCCTTCATCTTTTTTTTTTTTTTTTTTAAATTTTTGGCCACACTGCATGGCTTGCAGGTCTTAAGTTCCCCAACCAGGGACTAAATCCATGCTCTCTGCAGCAAAAGTGCAGAGTCCTAACCACCCGATCACCAGCAAATTCCCATTCCCTCATTTTTAAATGACAGCCTTAGCCTCTCCAGCTTTGTGATACGGTACCACACCAACAAGGTTCTGGTTTCCATGATGATATAGAAGTGACTGTCATCAGTACCTGGTGTCATCAGGACTTCTGCAATGAACACTGAGGAGCAACTATGGCAATCATAGTGTCAATAAGAGGAGGGATGGCACCAGTCACACTGATATCCCATCTGGAGGGCAGCCCTTGATCCACCTGATGGACAGGAAGTCCGTTTCTCGTGGATGAGCAATGACTCTGGTCTGCCATCTCTCCAGAAAGGGATATAGGAGAGGCAGTAAAGCCACCAAATAGAGACACATGAGAGTGCAGAAATGGCACATGTGTCAGGGTGAGAAAGGAAACTTTCAGTATCATGTGACTGAGTGGAATATTACCCTGAAGTTAAATATATAAACATGCCCTGAAGATTCAGGACACAACCACAATAGACTTCTAAGTTAAAGAATAACACTAAAGAAGAGCCAACATACAATAGCAACATAAAAGATACAATATCTGGAAATAATCTTGACAAGAACAATTCAAGAATATGAAGAAACAAAGAAAGCTTTGAAATGCTGCTGATGAATCTAACAGATGGGTTAAAACTTAAATAAGAAAACTAAAGTACATGTACAGAAAGTGAACATCATAAGGTAGCATATATCTTTCTGGGTTAAACTAAAGCACCAGTGCAATTATGATAAAAATACAAAAAAGATTTTTAATTTAAACAAGCTGATTTTAAAATTCAATGAAAAATAAATGACAATAGCCAGAAAACAAAATTCCAAAAATAAAAGTAAAGGGATCTTCGGCTGGACATTCAAAATATCTTATAAAACAGCTCTATCTGGAAAGATCAGGATGGCAGGGTAGAAAGATACACAAACACCAAAGATACACCTACATGTGGAGCAGAGCTCACTGCTAACAACCTGAAGGCTGACAGAAAGGCTCTTCTACAACCAAAGCTGTAAGAAAGACCTACACTGAGTCAGGTGGGAAAGGAGGAGAAGCAATCAAGTCAAGATCCTCACAGGGGATACAGAAGAGTAGGGGAATGTCACAGGCTCGGGGACCCTTCCGGGGTACTGAGGGGTTCAAGCCACATACTGGGTACCCCAGCCCTAGATTCAACACCAGAAAGATGAATTCTGAACGGTGTCCCCCTCAAAATTCATAGGCTGAAGTCCTAGCCACTTGCACTTTTCATCAGGAAGCCCTGAGCAGGTCACTCTCTCTTAGAACCACTATTTTTTTTAATTAATTAATTTATTTATTTTACTTTACAACATTGTATTGGTTCTGCCATACTATTATCTCATCTGAAGAACGAAGATAATAATTCCATCTTTCAGGCAACCGTTAGCATTTAGGGTGTACAACTGCCTAGAAGAGGTGCTCAGTAAATGATACCAGGCCCATCCTCATTATTATAAGGAAACTAAGTTCCACAGAGTATATGAAATATATAAGGTTACACTTCTGATTTTGGCAGGTTGAAAACACAGGCACATGTCCCAAATCCCTACCTACTGTCATTTCCACTCGATCAGATTGTTCCAGTGACTTAATGATTGACCCTGTGATGCCTGACACCATCAACCAAACTATGGTATTTTATGTGGCAAGTGACTTCATTTAAGGGCTCAAACATCCATTACTCATTAGAAGAAATGCTGATGGCAGAAAACAAAAAGCTGTGAACCACAGTGGATATGGAATTTATTACATGGCAGGACTAGAGTCCTGCAGGTTGGCAAGAACGAGTGTCAGATGCAATGCAGGTGCCCCCAGATTACCAATGTCTGCAGCTTGGGAAGGCTCCACATTGTCCAGTCTGGGTTCCACATTTAGGAAGAGGCCTCCTCCACTGGCATTGATGGCAAGACCAGCGGGTCTCACCAACATCGAGATCCGATGCACTCCAACAGGCAGCAGGCTTGTCTGACACACCACATTTGTTTGGTTTGAGAAAATTACTTTGCAACTCGTTTTGTTCACTGTAACCTGCAGGGCCTCGTATTCACCAGAGAAACTAGTTCCGGTAATATAAACCAGTAGGTAAATGTCATCTTAAAAGAAGAAAGAAATCATCTCTCAGCAGTATCACTCCATTTATGAGAAATCTGTCAAATATCCATTCCCTCTCACCTTCCTCTCTCAAAATTCAAGGAATTGAATGCTGACTCATATATTGGAATCTATGTTTANGAATAACATTCCATTGTCTGGGTGAACCACAGTTTGTTTATTCATTCACCTGTTGCAGGTCATCCTGGTTGCTTCTAGGTTCTGGCAATTAAATTCCTTAATGTTCACAATACACAGTAGCAAGCTAAAGGCACGGATGAGTCCTGCAATAAAGAAAAAACTCTCCATTGGTTGAATTTGCTTTCCCAAATTGAGGCTTTCAAACCGTGGTGTTGGAGAAAACTCTTGAGAGTCCCTTGGGCTGCAAGGAGATCAAACCAGTTAATCCTAAAGGAAATCAATACTGAATATTCATTGGAAGGACTGATGCTGAAGCTGAAGTTCCAATACTGTGGCCACCTGATATGAAGAACTGACTCATTGGAAAAAGACCCTGATACTGGGAAAGACTGAAGGCAGGAGGAGAAGGGGACGACAGAATATGAGATGGTTGGAAAGCATCACTGACTCAATGGATATGAGTTTGAGCAAACTCCGTGAGATGGTGAAGGACAGAGAAGCTGTCCAGATGGTGTGCAGATGGTGTTCATAGGGTCACAAAGAGTCAGACACAACTGAGCAATTGAACAACAACAAATATACACATATATATGGGGCTTCCCAGGTGGCTCAGTGGTAGAGAATCCACCTGCCAATGCAGGAGACACAGGCTTGATCCCTGGGTTGGGAAGATCACATGGAAAAGGGCTTCCCTAGTAACACAGAGAGTAAAGAATTCGCCTGCAAAGTGGGATACCTGGGTTTGATCCCTGGGTTGGGAAGATCCCCTGGAGCGAAACATGGCAACCCACTGCAGTATTCTTGCCTGGAGAATCTCCATGGACAGAGGAGCCTGGTGGGCTATAGTCCATGGACTTGCAAAGAGTCGGACACGACTGAGCAACTAAGCATACACGTAGGAAATGGCAACCCACTCTAGTATTCTTGCCTGAAGAAGTCCATGGACCGAGGAGCCTGACAGGCTAAAGTTCACGGGGTCACAAAGAGTCAGACATGACTGAGCGACTGAGCACACAAGCATGCACACATACACACGTATGTGTACACATAGTTTTATAGGTATATGTGGCTTCCCTGGTGGCTCAGGCTGTAAAGTGTCTGCCTGTAATGCGGGAGATACAGGTTCAGTCCCTGGGTCTGAAAGATCTCCTGGAGAAGGAAATGGCAACCCACTCCAGTATTCTTGCCTGGAGAATCCCATGGACAGAGGAGCCTGATGGTCTTCAGTCCATGGGGTCACAAAGAGTCAGACAGGACTGAGCGACTTCACTTTCCCATTCACTTTATAGGTCTATATACATATAAAACTGAATCACTGAGCGGTACGCCTGAAACTAACATTACATCGCAAATCAACTACACTGCGATTGAAAAATAAAGCTGACGCCCATTTCAATGTCAAGGACACGTCATACCGAGGGCATACCACACAGAGTGGACCTGGGGAGTTGACCCGTCAAGGTACCGGAAGGCACAGGAACCTGAGCAATAAGCTGGTATGTCATTTACTCGCACAACCACCTAGAAAAAGGCAAAAGCATTAAAGGCAGATGTACACATTTCATATGCTCAAGGGTATTCACAAAGGACTTGTGAAGTGTGCCCAAACTGATATGTGTTATGACCAAAATCATATGTGTTATGATTCACCTGTTCTCTATTTTTCCCTTCTATTTTCCAATAATAGACCCTCAGTTGTAAAGCATGACTCAACATGTTAGGCTATTTCTAAATGATGGTTAATATACAGAAATCTAATATTTTTACAATTAGATAGGCTCAGTCTGGATTAAATTCCCTCTCTGTCACATAGAAGTAAATTCAAACTGTGCAAGGACTTTTTATCACCTTATATTTTTTAACTTAAGACCTACTGCCTGTGAAAAACCCTGTCTTTGTTGGTAGATGCCAATGATGTAGACACCTCTGTTCCATCATTGCTACAAGGAGGTATAACTGAAGATTAGAGTGGATTTGGACATTTGGGTTGGGGTCTTTTTTGTCCTAGAATGCGAAGTCCCTTAGAATAAATTATGTATCTTTCCCTCTCACTGGGACTGAGGTTAACCTAATAGAACTATACAACACTTGTAAATGAAAGTGGTGAAAAAGATAAGACTCTCAGTCTTTACCTGTAAAATAAGGATTAAAAACACACTACATTTATGATAGTGTTTGCTTATGGGGGGAAGGGATCATACATCAAATGTTAATAATTGTTAATTCTTGTTTGGGTACCCAGGTATTGGTTATATTATTCTTATAGATTTTGCATTTTAAAACTGTCTCAATTGAAAGCACATGACTTATAAGAGGGGAAAGTGCAAAAGACATTTTAAAGAGAAAAGGAGTTGACTCAGCCCATTTACTTTCCAAGGCCACTGTGAGCAGGTATAAAAAGTATGTAGCTAGAGAGATTCTCAATTTTGGGTACCATAAGAGCATCAGTAATTATAACTGGATGTTGTGTTTACAAAGCACTTGTATTTTCAGAGTACTCTCCATACCCTGTGAAGTAGAAAGAGCACAGCCACGGCTGTCTCTGTTTTACAAATTAGAAAATTGACCCTTGGGATTGGCCCACATCACAAATAAGGAGGGGCTGCAGTAGACTTGAAACCAGTACTTCACTTTGGGGGGCCCATCTGCTCTCACCTGAGTGTATTGGTTGGCAGTGGCCAACATGTCTCCAAATATGGGTCCAAGGAAGACTCCACCATCATACACCACACGTGTGGTCACAGCAGGGTTCACTCCGGTGAGGTTTTCATTAGATACCTAAGATGGTCACATTTCTGGTGAATCCTGCCATGGAACAGAAGTCTAATCTTGCTTGAAACAAATGACAAAGGGTGTTTTCACATTTATTTACAATAATCAGATAGCTAGAAAGCGAAAATAGAGTGACATGGGCTTGAAATCTAGAAGCCTAACAGTAAGCAGTGGTGAACGAAAGCCCCAGTAGACTAGAAGAATATTTATTTGCAATAGAGTTACCAAAAACTACATACTATGCTGATCTCTCAAGTCTTGCAAGAGATTTTGTTCCCATGTGCTTTTCTATTTTACAAGTTTACAATCCAAATTACTAAAATAAAATTTCAGGAAACAAGTGCCATGAGATGACTTCCATCCTTCCTCCATCTCCACCCAAGGATTTTGTTTGAAAACCAGATGACCCGCAATGCCAAATAACAAGAATAAAATTTCATCTCGGATTTCACTTCATAAAACCAAATGCTAGATGATCATTAGATTATTTTTTAAAACCCTAAATATGCAAGAGCATCTGGTTTTGTCATTATCCAAAGACAGCAAATCCTTTCCTAAACTTCCTTCTGCTCTGCCATCTGCCTCCATGATAATCTGAGTCAATCACATCTGCTTAAATTATCCAATAACAGATGTAAAATTATTGTATGGTGGACACTGACCAACAATTTCTTTACCTACATCAAGTTAGAAAAGGCAACATTATGTTTAAATTGCCTTATCAGGAATATGAGATATAAAACATACCTTGAAAATTTTCAGAAAGATCATTGAGCTCCTTTACTAGAGAATTTCAACAAAGTTCACAAATCATGACAGTTTTCATTCATATAATTTGATTTTTTTTTCCACAAAATTGTTCCAGAGCACCAAATCCATAAAGTCAAAAGGGATACCATACATACCTTGATGAAGTTGGGCAAGTCCCCAACCTGGCTGGACCAGGAGAGGGTCCACACATGTTCATAGCATGACTTTAGATCCTCCGTCACAGTGAAGTCACTGACACTGAGGTACCTGGATGTGAAGTCATCAGCGCTGGTTTGTAAGAGCTTTTGGAGGTGACTGGCTGAGATGTGCACAGGGACACCTGTGGGAGAAGGTCATGATACCGAAAATGTTCTTATTTTAGTCGCTAAGTTGTGTCCAACTCTTTCGCAACCCCATGGACTATAGCCCATCAGGCCCCTCTTTCCATGGAATTTCCCAAGCAAGAATACTGGAGTGGGTTGCCATTTCCTTCAACAGAAGATCTTCCCAACACAGGGATCAAACCCCCGTGTTCTGCATTGGCAGGCGGATTCTTTACTGCTGAGCTATCAGGGAAGTACAATATAGAAAATACAGGAAAGTAATTACTCCACATTGTAGCATCTCATCTCATCATCAAGACAGCAGAATACAGGTTAAAATGACTTCACATATGAAAAGACCCTCAGGTTCAAGACGTGGCTTCAAGAGAACCTTCAGTCCAGTTATGCAATTTTTAAGGCCAGCATAAGTAGGTGCTCACTTTTTATATCATTATCCCTTTAATCAGCATCATATCTCTCAAGCAGAGAACACAATCATATCAGATCAAAACTATCTCAACTGTCAACTCAAAATGGGAATTCCAAACACTGGTTATTCCTGAAAGTCTAATTAAATACTGAGTTTTTCCTGGAAAAATAATTTAGCTGGCCCTGTGAATAAGGCAAAGTTGGCCACCTTCCACAAGGAGTGGGGAAGGCATAAAGCAGCTGACACCTAGAAAAACAGAGCCAACGAAGCTGAGGAATATTGGCACTGAACTTCGGTTTCTCTACTAGAATTTCCTTTAAGCCCAACCACCTGCTTCCCCATCACACATCCATGCAGAGAAATAACTGTGCTCTGGGCTGAAGCCTTGCTTGTGTTTGAACACTATTTCATGCTTTACCTGAAGTTTCCATTTCATTAGCCACCGCCAGCAACCCTTTGAGGTGGGTCATCTGGATAACCTAATGTCTTCTTAAGAAATGAAGAAAATGAAACCCAATGTGATTCAACAGATCACCAACCAAGTGAGAGGGGTTTTGATTAAAACCCAGATTGCCTTGACCAACTCAAGAGATTTCCTCTTGAATCCCACACTACCCTGGAGTATTAATGAAATATCACTGCATTTCCAAAATGCAAACAAAACTCATCTTTTTAAAAAAGATTGTCCTATACGAATACATCATTTGAGGGCCATTTCAAATGGCCAGGTGAAGGCTGACTTATCCCCCCAGTTGTTTTGCAGGCAGTGATGTGAAGAGCATCAGCAACAGAACATGATGGCAGGAAAAAACATCTTTCAATAGGTATTCTGCAGTTCTCTCATTGTGAGAAGGGAAACAGCACAGTAATGGGCTTCACAGTGGCAGAGCTCTAGTGCACTTACTCACCCACTTATCAGATTCCAATAGCCTCCGGACCATCTATTTTTCCTAAGATGTCCTATTAGAGGAAAAACTCCATTCCTCCAGCCAAGGATGGACTTCTTTGCAAGTCCAACATCTTTCTTCTTGGAAGGGTAGAAGATTTCTGGACCACTTGCCAACTTTTGAACAACCACTCTTGCATTCTCCTGAGCCCCCAACTTCCCTATGTTTTTACCAAATAAATAATATAATCACTTCTAACCCTGTCCTTGATGAGATGTATATACATTGATAGTTGAAGATTTAGAGTCATTTCTATCTTCATTGCAGTTGAAAGCTCTTTCTGCATTTAATACAGTTTCTCAGTTCAGTTCAGTCACTCAGTCATGTCTGACTCTTTGTGACCTCATGGATATGGTTTCTAAAATGCTCCATATCATGTGCAGTCACTTTGGAGTTTAATTCAGAAAGGCAGTGGCTACCATGGATCATGGTCTATGAAATTCTAGAGAAGAAAATTGAACTCTTTGAGAAGCAAACACTCAAGTTCATATCTGGACCCTGCTCCAGCTATTTGTATGAGCTTCAGGCAAGCCTGAGTAGAGTGAGCTGAATGGTGGCCCTCAGAAAGATACGTTCTAATTCCTGGAAACTATGGATGTTACATCATAGAGCAAAGGATGTGATTAAGGATCTTGAGAAGAGGGAATCATCCAGGATTATCCAGGTGGGCCATAAATGCAATCCTATTTATCCTTATAACAGAGAGACAGAGGGAGTTTGGAGATGGCAGAGGAAGAGACCATGTGACCAGGAGGCAGGGTTTGGAATTCTGCACCTGAACCAAGGGATGCCAACAGCCACCAGAAGCTCAAAGATGCAGAAAACAGATCCTCCCCTAGACCTTAGGCAGAAGTGTGGCCCTGCCAACAACTTGATTTTGGACTTCGGCCTCCAGAACTCTAAGAGAATACATTGCAGTCATTTTAAGCCACCAAGCTTGTATAATTTGTTATGACAGCCATAAGAAACTGATCCGCTCAGTTTCCTCATCTGTAAAATGTAAAGACTGGGATCATATTGACAAGAATATCCCAGATCTTTAATTTTAGGAAAGTCACTCTCAGACACTGGAAAATTAACAAATTATGCTAACTTTAAGACTGTCACCCTGTCAGCAGGATGTTGTTTCCCTGGGGATGCCACTGAAAGCTTCAACGAGAAATGCTGCACCCGCTATGGCCCCTTTACCAGGAATCGCTGTGTTAGAAAGTTGGATGCGAAAGTGTCCTCCTAAAGGTGGACTTGTCCTCTGCAGTCTCTGTGTTGCCACCTGGACCAACCCGGATCCTTCCTCTGCTCCTTCGGGCACAGCGCTGCAACATGTCAGAAACAAAGCGTTAACCACAAGGCCCCTCCAGCAGCTGCTCCAGACAGAGCACAGCTCCATCTCAAGGACCACACAATCTCCCATGTTTCCAGACCATGAGCACGAGCTCCCAAATAACCCCTCTCCCATCACAGCAGAGAAAATGAAAGGTAAATATGAGGGGTCTCTAGAGGTGTTCCACCCTCCCACTCTACTGATCCTGGGAGAACACAGAGGCAGAGTGAAGAGTGATGAGTGTAGCCTCCACTGCTCTGGTCCTGACGCAGAGCGGAAGGAGAAACCTGTGTTCTCTAACTGTGTCTTCACAGTCAGAGGAAAGCTTGCCCTGGTCCACAGATCCTCTGCGCTCAGCATCCCCAGCAGAAACAGGCCACTCCATCTAGCAGAGTCCTTATCCAGCACCCGTGTGCACACTGCGTACCTAATCCTGCTTTCGTACAATAAGTGGGTCAAATAAATCATGACATACCATGCAGCGGAATACTATTTAGCCATTAAAAAGCATGCTTAATGAAATGGGGAACTATTCCATTTATACCAGTAGGTGAAAAGGGCATGTTGCAAATACAGTGTCTTATCTGTTGTACCAACTTGAGGTTTAAAAAGTAAATATATATAATTAGTTACTGTTGGTCACTCAGTCGTGTCCAACTCTTTGTGACTCTATGGACAGTAGCCCGCCAGACTCCTCTGTCCTTGGAATTCTCCAGGCAAAAATACCGGAGTAGGTTGCCATTCCCTTCTCCAGGTGATCTTCCCAACCCAGGGATTGAACCTGGGTCTCCTGCATTGCAGGTGGACTCTTTATCATCTGAGCCACCAAATATATATATATATATATATAATTCATATATATGTATTTTGTGTATATATGTATACGTGTGTGTGTATATAAAAATTGCCTTGGGGAAAAGAGTATTTTAGAACATGGATTCAATATGTTAAAAGAAAGTACCTCTGCAGAGGGATTACGAGTGATTTGTACCTTTTCTATGTGCTTTTCTGTACTTTCCAGATTTTCAACAATGAACATGTATGATTTTGATCAGTAACATTACTTACTTACTATGTATTGATGTGCATACTCACAACCACACAGAAACAGTCAGACTGATGCTATCTGGTTGGGGGCCACTCAGTGTTGTCCTGACTTTCTCAGGCTGAAGGCTTCCAGAAGGAGCTAAGGAGCCTGAGGAAACTCGGAAGGGGAGGTGGTGGGGACCCCTCTAAGTGTGGACCGAGATTATCTCCATCATTTCGGAGTTAATAACTTTGGCGTTTGGAGCACAGGATCACAGGGGGCTCATCTGACATCTCCCCGTCCAACACTGAGAGCCTTTCCCTCCTTTATTCTAATGATGATTTTTGGTCTTTTCTACTCAGAGGACCGTGAAACATTGTCAAGAAATGTGTCAAGAAATAGATTCAAGCTTTCTGTACCTACTTTTCTTACACCATCCCAAACACAGTGTAAGTAATATGAACTCATTTCAGAACGTGTTAGATACAGGGGGAGAAATTTTAAAGACAAGGCATCTCAATCTTTCCCATTCTACGGGATTTTAATGAACATTTAAAAGGACGAATTACAGCATGCATGTGTTCCAGGAGCTTGGAGGAGCCTGATTCTTAGTTACTGCTTTGTAAACTATGGCCAGAAAGGTTTGTTTATTGACGAATCAAGGCTTATGTGGCTCTAGTGCCATCTGGTGGTGAGCTTTCAGAACTGGCTGGTTTTGTTCCTTTGACTACGAATTGTACTTCCTTTGGCCTCAAAGAATTCCAGTAAGATTAATATATTAATCTTCTTAATGGAATGGGAGAAGAGGAGCAAGAAGAAAACAGTGGTAATGTGAACCTCTGAAAAGCATAAAAAGACATCTACTTGTAAACTAATTAACTAGGAACTAGCCCCCAGATCAACAGAATCAGCATGGCCTTGGAACTCATTAGAAATGCAAATTATCAGGCCCTGCCACCAAGCCTACTGAATTAGGATGGTGTGGTTAGGGCACAGCAATTTGTGTTTTAACACAACCTTCAGGTAAGTCTGATGCAGCATTCTTAACATTGAGAACTATTGCTTTAAGCAGCAAGGCAGGTAAATTTTCTTGATTGATAAAAGTCTCACCTCTGTGACTCCTAAGGCCAATTAGCAATTTTAAGGAGGGACAGGCGACTAAAGATGGTTCCCCACCTTGCAGTGATGAGCGGGAGCTCCAGGCCACACCCTGCCAACCAGGAGGTCACGTTGTAGACGGGAGGTGATCCTACCACCAAGAGCAATTCCAGCAGATTCCCGCCAGGGCGAGCTGTACCGGTGTCTGCCTGAGAAACTGGAGATAAAGGAACCAAACATCATCAAGTAAATCAAGATGGAAGACCCGCTGGGTGGACGGTCCCTGCTGGAGGGTCTGAGTCACTCATATCTCAGCACACCATGAAGGCAGAGATTCCCACCTACCTGCTGCCATGAGGAAAAAAGGAAGAGGGAGGAATTCAGTTGCCAAAGGAAAATGCAAGGTCATGGTATAAGGAGACGATGACTAATTCCACGGCAAACTTCAGTAAGCCGCAAGCCAGCCAAGCATCATTCCCTGTGCCGTTGGAGGTCCCCCCACCACCACACACACACATGCAAACACACAGCTCATCGGTGGCAGAGTGCACTGCTCCCCTCTTCCTCCTTTCCTTCTCCAAGTCCCGGCAGCTCCAGCAATGCAGGATGATCCCCCTCAGGAACACTGAACACACAGGCAGATCCTGGAGATGTCTGAGTTTTATCCACGGCATGGTGTCAACATGTGTGCAGACACAGTGCAAGCATTTAAGACAGACTGTCTTGCAAATCCTGATTTTCCACTTCTACTGGGTGACCATTTGGCTAATCACCATAGCCTCCATAAGACTCTTTAATCATTGATAAAGTGGGACTCATGATAGACATCAGTCTGCATGGCAGGGAGAGTTTACTGAGATGGCAGGTTTAGAGGGCCAGCTTAATATCCTCTTTCCCTTCTACTAGGCACCATGTAAATGCAGTTTCTTTCCCAAGTCTGTGCAATTGAGACAGCAAACAGTTTAAAAGCAGCATCCTTGCAGGCCCAATGCTGAGCACACCACCAGGCACAGAGCCAGTGCTCAAAATAAGTTCATTTGTCCAACTGAGTAGGGGGTCATTAAAAGTGGCTCTGGTGTCAGTGATCTCTAGGTTTAAATTTTCCCCACATCCCCAACTATTTGAGGCAAGACACTCAGCACCCTCTTAGCTTTGGTTTCTTAATCTATAGAGTGGGGATCATAGGGCCATCTTAGGGGTTCTAAGAATTAAATGAGAAGCATTTGGTAGCTACCACTAAATAAAAAGAAATTTCATAGAGGACAGTAGGTGGGAGAATATAATCAAATATTAAGCTGATCAGATAAATGTCAGGCAATTAAATATGAATATGGAGCCCATGTGTAGTTTATGTTACTATTAAATAATCCTCACAGAAAAATTGTTTCCAGCAGGATGACTGAACCAAGTGAGAAGCAGATTGTTATACCTAAGCCACCTCCTGTCTTTCTTATCTCTGCCCTCTGCCTCCCTGCTCCCCTCCCCACCTCACCCCTATATGGCTCCAGATGCTGGACCACTTGGGTAATAGAGGTGATGGCCGTGAGAAAGAGTTGAGATCCTGGGCAATGAGGGTTTGAAGAGGAGGAAGGGAAATGATACCTATTATCTAGTCCTGAGTTTCCCAGTCAGTGGGTTCAAGTGTATGAAATATTCCCATCAGCCCTCTGGGAATCTGTGCAGCATTTGGGATCACCAAAGGCCCCAGCCAGTTGTCTTGGGCACCAAGGAATTCAGACAGTTATCCCAGCACACTATTTGAATATTATTTTCTGTGTGTCAGAACATGGAATTTGAAGTCAGCGATGCCAGATGCCCCCAAAACACTCAAATCACTGAAACAGGTAAGGGATAGAATTCTGAATAGCGTCAAAAATGATGCAATTTCAGGGCTTGAAAGAGAGTTCTCTTACCCCTCACCCCCAAGTTCCCTGCCCCCTAGCTCTGCAACTTTCATGTAAAAGATTAAAAGCTGCACAACTTGAAAATCAGAACGCAAATGACCGTTCCATCCTTTTCTCCTTGAAGAGAGAAAGAGAAGCTACGAGAAGCAGGAAAGCTAAGGCCCAGAGTCACAAGGGATTTGAAGGAATAGGGAGAATGAACAAGCTGGAAGCCTAGAGGCCCTGGGAGAAAACCACACCATCCCTCTGGCCTTCTGTCCCTGGAGTGTGTGTCACACGTGGCCTCAGGAGAACCCTTGGTGAGTACCTTGCCCTTAAGACAAATGGAGCCAGGTGAGATCAAGGGACTTTTTGCAGAGAGGGGCCAGGCCTGAGCTCTGAGTGATGCGTGGGAGCAATCAGATGGGCACAAAGACAAAGCTATTCTCATGAGGGTGTGATGACCTCTGATTCACACCAAGTTGGCCTTAAGGGTCGTAAAATCAGACTTGTGGCCCATTTCAGGGCCAATGATGTTGTGTTCCTCACAGCACCTTTTATGACAGATATTAACAGATGGAGGTAGGGAGAAATCCTGCTGGCCTGACAACAGTAATGATAATAATAGTAATAATTGATTATATTTACTGAGCACCTACCACAGTCAGGACCCATGATGAGTGCTTTACATTACACTTCAGTTAATCTTCATAGTAATCCATGGGGTAGAAGCCTCATTATGCCCATTTTATAGATGAGAAAACCAAGGCCTCTGAGCCAGAAAGTGGTAAAATTGGGATAACATGACAGGCACCCAAAGAAATGGCAAACATTGGGGTAAATAACAGAAAACAGAAGGAACTTGCTAGAGGGATATAAAAGCCAAAGACACACAATCACAACTTCATCTTCTCCCGGGGATTGAGGCGGAAAGATGGAGAACCATCTGCTCTCTCTCCATTAAAAGAGAAGCAGCCCCTCCAGAAAAGCCTGAGGACCCTATCTGATGGATAGTTCATAGAGGAGAGTAGATCTGATAATCACCTGTTAGGTTTGTGTCTGCAATAATAATCTCATCCACATAGAACATGCCCATCTCTGGAGACAGAGGGAGGAGGTCAATCTGATGAACCAGCACTGGGGAATTTGCAGGAGGCAGCTGGAGATGCGAGGAGTGATGCACACACGTCTTCCAGAGGTCGGTGCAGGTGAACTGCCAGCTGAACACAAGCACGGAGCAGAAACGGGCCTCCCGTGAGCACCACAGTCCTCTTGCCTGAGAACCCCAGTTCCCCAACCAGGGCTGAAGACCATGCAGCCGGGAGATCCACACAGTCCTGGTTGCCATGGTACCAGCATCCCACCCAAAATGGGCTCAACTTGGCTGGGACACAACACCAGTGAGTCACATTTAAATCAGCCATCCATTCATAACAATGTCAGCAGTACTTTCAAATTACGATACAATTGAGTGTCTTAAGCAGATCACATGTTAGGCTCTAACCACAGAGATGATTAGTGGTCTCTAAAACCTAAAATTCATTTAGGTTTAAAACCACTTACAAAACCCTTGAGAGATGTGGAAAGTGTGCTGAATCAAGGGATCAAAATGCCTGAATCATATTCCAGCATCTTTGCTCACTCGCTGGATGAATTTCAGTGAATCACACATTCTCTGGACCCCAATTTTTCTCATCTGTAATGTCAAGGAATGTTCCATAAAATCTCTTCCAAATATGATGGTCTTTGACTCTATCCCTATGAGAAATGTCAGACTCCTTATATATGTAACGGCTAACTGCCCTTAAATCAAAATTCTTTGCCAAATAAAACATGTTCAGAGCTGAAATTATTGTCCGAGGCCCCACTATCAGACAACACCTCCCATGAGTCACTGTCCCCAGGATAGTTAGCCATACCATCTAGCAGAATTCCCACCACACCTGCCTGCAGACAAGCTACCTGCGGGTACCTACCTAGGACTGGTCTCCAGAAGACTCCAGTTACACGTGATGTTCTTAACAGGGTTTTGAAGGCTGACTGTGAAGGACACAGTCATCTCCAGGGTCGTATTCTCATAGCCTCTGTACGCAAGGCACAACTAGAGACACAAAACAAGTGCTTCAGCTCTGTCACTAAGAAGCAGCTGCTCAAGCAATGTTTATTGAGGACAGTCCACTCCCTAGAACTAACCTAGAGACAGCCAGACCACTCCTGCCCTCCTAGACCTTACCTTAGTTTAAAGCAAATTGCTATTTATCCAACAGAGAGCTATTCAATGCCTAGCACTATGTGTGGCTGTGAGGATTTTTTTATATCAATTAGAAATCCCTTGTTGTGACCCAGATACCTGTGCAACCTCAAGCAAGGCACTGAACCTCTCTGAGCCTCACCCCTTAACCTGAACTCGCCGGCAACCTTGGCTTCTAACTCAGAGTTAAGTAAAATTGTTTGGCGGGATTTTTCAACTGTGGCACTATTGACATTTAGGACTGGGACTTTTCTGTGAGTCCTTTTCTTACACTGTGCATTGCAGAATGTGTAGCAACTTTCCTAGAACCTACCCACTGGATGGCATTAACACTTCCCCAGTTGTGATGACCAAAAATGCCTCTAGCATGGGCTAAATCCCCACCACCACCTGCTGGGCGCCTGTGCTGTAGAAGAAAGGCTGGAAGTTGGGTGTTGCCCTTTCCTGAACCATTTAGTCCCAGCTCCCACTCTTTTTTGACTCAGAAAGGACTTGAAACCACTGACATGAGCTCAGTCATCCCAGGAAGGTTCACCCTGGTTCCCAAAGAGCAGAGCTACTGATGCAAAGGATATGAGGTACTGGAGGAATGTGTCAGTCCATCCATCAATAATAACAATAACTATAATAGATAATAACTAGCTTTAAACAAGTCCTAGCCACTGCCCAAGCACTTTACTGGATTACCTCATATACTCTGCCCCAATAGCTTGAGAGGCAGACCCTATTATTACCCATTTCTCAGATGAGTAAACTATGATAAAACACAGAGGGCATGCAGGGTATAGAGTCAGAATTCAAAACCAGAGAGTCTGAGTGGAGAGTCTGCTCTCATACCTGGAGATCAAAGAAAACACTGAAGCATATGGAAACCTCCATGTTGTCATTGTTGTTGTTTTGTCACTAATTCAACTCCAACTCTTTGCAACTCCATGGACTGTAGCCCTCCAGGCTCCTCTGTCCATGGGATTCTCCAGGCAAGAATACTGGAGTGGGCTTCCATTTCCTCCTCCAAGGGATCTTCCCAACCCAGGGATCAAATCCACGTCTCCTGCACTGGCAGGTGGATTCTTTACCACTGAGAAACCTAGAAAGCCCAGAAGCTTCCATAGGTCTCAGTTATTAGAAAGGCATTTTCATGCAGCAACTAGCTTATAGGACTCAAGGTGTCCATTCACACCCAAAACCTAGCACCTCAGCCTGAAACATCTTGTGGGTCATGGTAACCACTCCCTTGTGCTTCTGTTTCTCCAGTTTCCACCCCAGAGAAAAATTCCAACCCCTCCCTACCCACCTGGCCTGCAAACACAAGGGCTGCTACTTACATGTGTGTACTGATCTAGCCGGTAGACTTTCTGAGCAGTTGGAGGTGTCAGGACAAGGTGTCGAGGCTGATGGAGACTGAACCTCCCACAGAAGGGCTCTGTCCCACTGGTGAGGTGCCCGTCAGAGCTGGAACCTTCTAGCCCTGGATGAAGTTCAGATAAAACAGGAAGACAGGAGTAATTGTCCAACAGAGCTCCACAACATGTCTGCAGGGAATGGGTTATGGGTTCTCCATGACATTGGCCTCTCAGTCCTTGGTCGAGTTGGGCAGGGCTCGGGGTGGCCAGCACCCTCCAGCTCAAAGGCTCCACCTATGAGAAATGCATAGTGTCTGCTCCAGAGCATTAAAAATCTATTATAATTTTCTATGTGTACCACAACAAAAAAGCATTGAGAAGCAAAGAGGTAAGGCATGTTGACTGCAACTTAGCTCACCTTATGATTTTAAAAACATATCCTCACATTTTTGGAGTACATTAGACTACTGTCTTCGGCTTCCCAAGTGGTAAAGAACCCATCTGCCAATGCAACTCGGTTCAATAGGTTGGTCAGAAAGATCCCCTGGCATAGGAAACTGAAACCCACTCCAGTATTCTTGGCTGGAGAATCCCACAGACAGAGGAGCCTGGCGGGCTTCAGTTCACAGGGTTGCAAAGAGTCAGACACAACTGACATGACTTACCATGCACAGCACAGACTACTGCATTATATAATAATTCCTTTGAGATATGATTTGAGTTAAACAAGACTTGCACTGTTCTATCTCTCCTGTATCTGTTGCTGTTTCCCACCTGTGGCATGAGATGCAGCTCCTGAGCCTAAGTCACCAGCATCCTTTGTTTCTAACTCTCTGCTCCCCTGACAGCATGGAAGGGATGTCCTTTCTTTCTCTGATTCCCACACCAGGCAGCTCCCTCCCAAACATTCAGCCTCTCTGTGAAACACTGTGTCCAAATCCAGTTTTCACTGGAATGAACAGAGTCACCTTGGAGATGAAATGAAGATTGTTCCACTTTTACATTAAAAAAAAAAGAGAGAGACGATAAGGGTGAAGAAGAGGGTCAGAATTTGTCAAACCAGGGACTGTACCTTGTTCAAATCCCAGCCAGAGTAAGATGTTTGCTGAAAGGGGTTCCAGTTTGCATTTGACTGCAAGTAACTCCTCAATGGCTATTTGAATCTGTTAATAAGAAAAATAACCAGGAGCTCACACCATGGATATAAAGACTATCTCTAGTTCCCCCACCTCTCCTTATGTGAATAAAATGCCCACCTGATGGGCTGTGGCATTTGCAGGGATTGGCTGACTAGAAACATTGTCCCAGGTAAGGAAGAAGTTCCCTGTGCCAGACACAGTCAGCATCTAAAAAGTCAAGAGTGACAGAATTAAAGAATATGTGCTCATTGAGCCAAAAAGACAATCTAGGAACGTAAGACAAACTTCCCTGACTTGCTACAGACAGTATACCAGGAGATAGGACTTAAATGGGTCAAAAAGCTATGAAATCACGCATATATACACTCACAGGCATGCAAACATGGGTGTGAGTGTTAGCAGGGCCTTATTTCCTCTCTGAGGAATATGTTTCCAAAAGAAGATTTACCAGGACTTCTGTACCTAAAATTAAGTCCATGAATCAGGGCATCACAACAGTAAGACTCCTTTTAAATAAAAAAGTCCTCTCAACCCTACTGGATGAATGTCCAATCTCTTTTGCAGGAGAGTTATCATTATGGCTCAAGTCTCCTGGCTCTCAGCCAGTCAGGACTAAATTCCTTGCAGAGTTCAGCCCCTGAACCTAACCCCATGGGACAGAAAACACAGGCAGACCTGGATTTCCGGAAGTCTCTGGGCCCAAGCTCGGATCTGATGCTTCTCCCGGAGGTATGTGCTGACCACGTCAGGATTCAGCCAGGTGTTGTGGATCTGGACACCAATTCTCACCCCGCTGCTGGGGGCTCTCCCCTGATGCTCTGCTTCCAGGTAGTACCTGGCTCCCCGGAGCAGCTCCAGCTTGGGGGTCTTCTGTTGCTGGGTCTTGTCACTCCCATTCTGCTCCCAGGAGTCAAACCAGTCGGCAGTGCCCACCCTGATAGAGGCCACTTTCACCTGCACCCCAGTAAACACATCAGGACCAATACTGTGAAGTTTCTGGACCTCTGTTTCTCAAACAAAAAGCAACTAGACATCTACTAACAAGGGACTTGGGGGCTGTTCTGCCTTTTCCAACAAGTAAGCCTGAACCTTCTAGGACCATGCTATGCATGCCTCTCCAGTCATCTTTTTCTCTCTCTTTCTCTCTCTCTGTCTAGATTACATAGTATTCAAATGAGATGGATGGGCCATGTTTACACCTGGAAGAGCCAACCTGAAACCCTAACTTCACATGATGCTGTGGGTAAAGTCATATGACGCCCTTTGAGAAACCTAAATGACTTGACCACATCACAATCTACGATGCTTCTCCAGCCAACTAGCAAAGCAATTTCATGGAAGCATATTCATCATTTGAGAGAAAAGACTATGTTTCTTTGACAATGGCATTAATTAATTTTTGGCTGTTTGCTAAAACACTTTTTTTATCCTTCAAAACTGGTCAGTAAATTCCTGCATAAAACTAGTTATATCCATACCCAGAATCAGTGGTAAAAACAAATTTTGAGTCAGACAAATCTGGATTTGAATTCTTAATGTGCCTCTTATCACCCCAGTGGCCCTGCATGGGTCATAGAATCCTTCTAGGACTCATTGTCCATATCTGGAAAATGGAGATAAAGAGACATAACTCACAAGATGCTATGAAGTTTAGAAACAAGGTATATAACAGCTGTAGCATAATGACCAGCAAGCTCTGTTTCAAAAATTAAAATCATGTAGATTATATCTCAACTTTTAAAAAAGAAAAATTTCTAGTTTTAAAAAACCCATACACACACATGCATGCACCAAAAAAAAATTAAAGTCTCTGGTTGCTTAATGGCATGTTACAACTATCAATAGAATATGAGAGCCTTCATTTTGACTTACTGTTTTTTTGTGTTTTTTTTTCCAGGAGTGAGGGACTGGGGACAAGAAGAAGGAAAACAAGAAGGTGGTGAATACCTTGGTCCTCAGGTCCTCCAACCAACTGAAATACAGAGAAGCCCGGTTGTCAGCCTGGATCCAGAAAGTGTAATTATTTGTCTCTGGGGCCACAAAGAACCCACTGAGCCGTGCTCTGGAAAGCAGAGGAACACAGAGAAAGAAGTGAAGGCAACCAAGCCCAGTATTAATGACCTAACAACAGTGCCCTTAGATTTTGTTTGTCTTTATGTTAATGAGGAGGAAACACTTGACTCTTGTGCCTGTGACTGGCCAGAGCCCTCTGGATGCATCTCTTCCTGTGATGCCTGCCTGGCTTAGTATCTCAGCCCATCACTTTGAACTGGCATGACTCCCCAGGCAGTTTGCATCGTCTTTGGGAAAGTTGTAGCCATAGCATAGGGTAACCTGGGGGCTTAGCTGAGATCACTTACCAAGCATGGCCAGTACAGGGTCTGGCACATGGTAAGCATTCAATCAATAGTAAATATCATTCTCATTATTAGAAATAAAGATCCTCAGTCAGAGTTTCCTCTGATTTGATCTAGATATGAAGAATACAGAGAATATTTTCTGAGAATAGTTTTGAAAATAATTAAAGTTCCATCATTATCATATTAATAAATATATCCATTTTTATTTTAAATTTTTGAATTTTACAGAAACGAATGCCAGAAAGAATAGAAAGAGTCGCTGCCTGGTTTGTGGCTCCTTGAAATGGCAGAGAGAAAGCTACAGGTCATACCAGATAATCAAAATGTGCTTTTATCTATTGAGGTGGGGCTCTCCTTGACGCCCCCACACACACTGAATATAGCTGAAAATTTTTCTTTTGAACAATATTTGTGGTCATCAGAAACTATGACAAAGGCACAGTACTAAGTGCCGCCAAGCACACACACACACACACACACACACACATAATTTATTGCCACTTTAAAACCATATATACCAGTGGTTAGATATCTAATTAGTAAAACTTCCAAGACAATAGAAACTTCACTCTGTTCAGATTCCCTTCCTGACATGGTTCCTTCAATTTCTGAAATTCAATGAGAACATAGCCTTCCTTTTCACAACTGAATTAACCTTAAAAATGGCCAAGAGACTTCCCTAGTGGTCCAGTGGTTAAGACTCTGCACTTTCACTGCAGGGGACATGGGTTCGGTCCCTGGTTGAGGAACTAAGAACCCACGTGCTATGCAGCACAACCAAAAGAAATCAGTAGATTAGTCAAATCCTTGAAAGAGGTTACAGATTGACTAGAATTCACCCACCTGCAAATGCAGGAGATGTAAGAGACACAGGTTCGATCTCTGGGTGGGAAAGATCCCCTGGAAGGGGACATGGCAACCCACTCCAGTATTCTTGCCTGGAGAATCCCATGGACAGAGGAGCCTGACAGGCTACAGTCCATAGGGTCGCAAAGAGTTGGACACGACTGAGGTGACTTAGCACAGAAATCAGACGCAGGAGTCATAACCAACCTCTCTGAGGAGAATTTCAAAAGAAGAGATCCATCATACCTAAAGGATACAGTCACCTATATACAAGCTTAGAGCACACTATGTCTCCACAGCCCTCTTATTTTCTACATTTTTTAAGCCCACATTAAAATATGAAAAACTTTGGCCACATCTTGGCAGGGATTAAAAAGACAAAACTAAACAGGGAAACTTTACCACACTGCAGTCACTTCTACAGAAAACAATGCCTCCAGAGGCCACAGGAGTTTACCCCTGCTCTACACCAGCCATCTGGTTGACCTACAGCACTGGCTAGTTGTTCCCACAGAGCTGTTGGCTGCCCAGCCTCTGCTCCCTCATATGCCCAAAGGGCAACTGCTTGAGTCTTTCTTTAGTACCATCCAGATACTGATTTTATCTCTTAACCATGTTACTACAGCAAGTTTTGCCCTGCTCTTTACCAAGTTTCCTGGCCTACCCAGCTCAACGTTTTGATGAATAGTCCTCCCCAAAGCAGATTTCAAACTAAGCTATACAACATACATATTTTACTCATTGATCAACATTTGGCGTGTACCCATAAAGGGCCTGTGGTCCATGAACATAACCAATACTGGCTGAGAACAGTGATCAAAATTTTTGACTGCTGAATTCGTAGATATTTTACATTTTCCCCTGGAAATCTCATTGCTTGCTCATCTGTCTCCTAGCCTCACCCAGGCCAGAAACACTTGTAATCTGGACACCCATTTTTCCTACAAACATACCTGAAAGGTTGCCCTTCCTTTGACCAAAATCCAGATGGAGAACTGGCATTAGGGACGATCTGCCAACTGTAACCAGGGGTGGCTTCAGTCAGGTCCAAGTCCTCAGAAGCCTCTCCAACTTCAAAGAGAAGCCCTCGATTGCCTGTAAGACATGTACACCTCATAAGCATCAGAGGGGGTTTCTTCCCCAAGCGGGGGAACTTCTTGACTACAGACTCAGGATGAAAATGATACAGGAACTATTTAGAAGGTGAGTCAACTGAGACTCAGATGGAGTAATCATGTGAGACATTATAAAGACTATGCATAGAGCTGATTCACTTTGGTGTATACCAGAAACTTATACAACATTGTAAAGCAACTTTACCCTAATAAATAAAAGAATACCCCCCAAAATAAAAATAAAGATAATACAAATGTTCTAGAAAGTGGAAACTACTACTAGGTGTAAGAATTCAGCCTCTGAGAAAGAGACATCTGACAAGGAGCAATAAGAGGGCATATTCTCAGAGGACCATAAAAAATGAAGGAGCTCTTTTTAATGGGAGTGTCCAGATAAGAGAAAACACAAAAAAGCAAAGGCTTGTGAAGTCAGGAGTGCACTTCAGTATCTTTTAATGTCATTCAGCCTGGGAATTCTATTCCCTAAACCCCCTTTGTCCCAGAAAATTGGCAATGCTCACATTTTTCATGAGTCCTGACCTTAGTGAACATGCAGCAAATCATGTGACAGGTTGCCATTACATTACATTCTAAATGTCATCTATTTGTTTTTTATATTAAAAAAAAACCCTGAAACCAAAGACATATGTGTGATCAACCAATTCAGTTCAGTTGCTCAGTCATGTCCGATTCTTTGCGACCCCATGGACTGCAGCACACCAAGCTTCCCTGCCCATCACCAACTCCCAGAGCTTGCTCAAACTCATGTCCATTGAGTTGGTCATGCCATCCAACCATCTCATCCTCTGTCATCTTCTTCTCTTCTTTCCTTCAGTCTTTCCCAGCATCAGGGCCTTTTCCAATAAGTCAGCTCTTCACATCAGGTGGCCAAAGTATTGGAGCTTCAGCGTCAGCATCAGTCCTTCCAATGAATATTCAGGACTGACTTCCTTTAGGATTGACTGGTTTGATCTCCTTGCAGTCCAAGGGACTCTCAAGAGTCTTCTCCAACACCGCAGTTCAAAAGCATCAATTCTTTGGCACTCAGCTTTCTATAGTCCAGCTCTCACATCCATACATGACTACTGGAGAAACCATAGCTTTGACTAGACAGACCTTTGTCAGCAAAGTAATGTCTCTACTTTTTAATATACTGCATTGTGTGATCAATATTGGCTACTAACTGGGTTGAGGGTAAAAGCTCTGGAATCACCCATGGGTGGGTTCAGAGTCCATCTCTACCATTTACTTGATGGGCAGCTTTGAGCAACTTGCTTCACATCTTCACTTTCTCCTGCATCAAAATGGGGTCAATAGTAAACAGAGAAACTGCTCTAAAGACTAAGGGAGCTGAGTTACATGGCAATTATATCTCAATAAAGCCATAGGAAGAAGTAGTCAGTTTGACAACTCTGGAAGGAAAAAGACTAAGGGAGCTTAAAATATATACACAAAGAGCCTGAAATATAATAAGTACTCAGTAAAGGGTAGCTAGGGCTGTTATTATTATTTTAAATTACTGTTGTTATTCCCTGTTAAAAAAAAGACTTCCCTGGTGGCTCAGACAGTAAAGTGTCTGCCTACAATGTGGGAGACCTGGGTTCGATCCCTGGGTCGGGAAGATCCTCTGGAGAAGGAAATGGCAACCCACTCCAGCACTCTTGCCTGGAAAATCCCGTGTACAGAGGAGCCTGGAAGCCTACAATCCACAGGGTCGCAAAGAGTCGGACACAATCTAGTGATTCCGTGTTAAATCCTAAGAAGGGGAAACAGAAAAGGAATAAGCATAAAAATAACAGCATATTTTAAGGTACTATTTGAGATTTCTCAGGCTCAGCAGGATTGATATATGGGGCTGGATAACTCCGTTGTGGGACTTCACTGGTGCTGCCTGCAATGCGTTTTAAGGGCTGTCCAGAACACAGGATGTTTAGCAGCACTTCCAGCCTCTACCCACTAGAGGTCAGTAGCACCACCATCCCAGTTGTAAGGACCAAACACTGCCAAGTGCCCGAAGCCTGCTACTGAGAACAGCTGCAAAACAGGATCATTTGCCCTGTTACCCAACGCATGAATTATTATTCATTATTACCCAACACAGGGCTGTGTGCCCGACACACACTGAGGCCAAAAAATACCAAAACATCGGAGCCTGGAGCAGAGAAAGGTTTACTGCAGAGCCAGGCAAGGAGAAGAGTGGCTCATAACTTTAAAAAAAAAAAAACCCAGGTTCCCTGAAAGCTTTTCAGCAAAGTCCTTTTATAGGGAAGGTGAGGGAGGGGCGTTATTAGTTGTCGCAACCTTCTAGGTGTCAGATCTTTCGTTCTTGAGGTCAGGCCACAATGTTCCAAGTTCCATCAAAACAGATGTTATTCTCTCTTCTGACAAGAAAGAGCAAGGTCCCAAGGCTCAACCTTCACCCTCTGAGATCCAGGTCCTGGTTAAGAGGAGGGGGGTCCCTGCAGGTGCTGGTTACGCTGCCCAGGGAACGTACGGCCAGCACTCAAGTCTGGGTCCTCCTGCCAGTGCCCAGTCCAGCTGAGGCGGCAGCTCTCAGCTGGCGGTGCCCTCAGGTGTCCAGGCCTTACCCAGTCATCATCACAGAGGACTCCAGCTGCCTCTCAGGATCCTCAGGCTGCCCAAATCGGGACTGCGTTCCATGAACTGCAACGCATGGAGACCCCTGCTGCCATTAGGTCGCAGAGGCAGAGATGAGGAGAGAGGTCGCCATTGACTCAAGACCTGCGCAGGTCAGTGGGCGGCTAGGGTGAGGGCTTGGGAGGTCTGCAGGACACAGCCCTCATCCTGTTGCTGAGACCCCCAGCTCACCAGCCAGACAGCCTGGAGGGCCCTGGGGAGGAGACGGTGATCTGCCTGTCAGAGCACTCTCAGTGGGAGAACCACAGAGGACCCCCGCAAGACCGACGGTTAGCGGAGCGGGACCTCTAACTGCTGTGCTAACTGTCTCGCACTAACGGTCTCGCGATAACTCGTACTAACGGCCTCACACTAACGGTCACTAGCTAACGGTCGAGTCTAGAGCTAACGATCGAATGTTAATAGCTGCCTGTCCACCCTATCCCTATAACCCTTCCATAAAAGAAATTCCAAAAGCATTGTTTAAAGGACATTGTCAACTATCCAGAACTGCCGCGTTGTGTTGTCTATATACATTTTATTTATAATGTACACTTAAAACTCTTTTGATCTTATTTTAGAGCAACGTTCTTCAAACTTGCCTGCTAAACGTAACAAGGAAGCCTAGAAATGCAATAAAAATTACTTCTTCAAGTTAAAAACATCAGCAGCATTCAGGAAATTCCCCTACCACAGTAGCTTCCAGCAGGAACCGCTGTGAGAGGAATCAGACTCTCTATTCCCTGTCCCTCTCTATTCGCTGTGTATTTCCAGACACATATTTTCTCCATCACTTGCTTCATTTGTTTCCTTGGATTAGAGCTTTCCCTGAGTAAATACCACAGATTAGGGACCTGGAGAATGCCCAGCCTAAGCTTTGCATGCGTTTTTACACCCGAATGGCCTTTCTTTAGAAAGTTGTCCCCCTCGATGAGACTCAGGAGATGAACTTCCCTGCCTGTGGTTTAACTGTGAAGTCAGCCCTTGTGGGGCATATAGGACTCCAGACGCCAACTACCCTTCATCCCTAACTATACCTGAGATCCTGTTCTAACACTTCCCAGAAAAGTGCTTCCATAGTACAGTTGCAATTTGTAGCCACTGGATAGGAGGTTTAAACACAGAAGGTGGACTTCCCTGTGGTCCAGTGGTTAAGAATCCGCCTTGCAATTCAGGGTACGTGGGTTCGATCCTTGGTCCAAGAAGATCCCACCTACCATGGGGCAACTAAGCCAGCGTACCACAACTACTGAAGCCCATGTGTCTAGAGCCTGTGCTCCGCAACAAGAGAAGCCACTACAGTGAGAAGCCCATGCACCACAACGAAGAGTAACCCCCGCTTACCAAAACTAGAGAAAGCCCATGTGCAGCAATGAAGATCCAGCCAAAAATAAATAGTAAAAAAGAACAAGTGGAACCTGCCCCCCTGCCCTGTTTCTGGTGGCCCTATCACAATATATCTCTGCTTTTCAGAGTAACAGACAGTAACAGTAACAGACAGTAACAGACAGCCTACAAGGACAAAGAAACAACATTTAAATGCACCCCCATTACACCCCACCCTCTGCCTCATCTAACTGTCCTATGAGCATAGAAGAAGCAGTCTGTTCCTCTGTCTTCTTAGAGAGTGAGCCAGAGTGCAACTGACCCAGAGGATGGAGGAGGCAGCTCAGGCTTTTCCGCCAATCACTATGGCAACATCTTGATGGCAGTTACACTTCCTGGATCACGGTTTCCACTGAACCCCACTTGCCATTCATCCGCCTGGGGCTAGGAATGCCGAGTGTTGCCAAGCATCTGAGTAAAGCTCAGAATACATCTGAAACTAAAGCTCTGATCCATGATGCAGGGCTCACTGAGCAGCCAATCAAACAGCTGAGACCAGATTCAAACACCTTCCTTTCTACTTCCGGCCCCTTGTGGTTAAAAAATGTCACCGTGGCAACTTCCTTACCTGCCTGAGGAGCAGAGAGCCTTGCACCTTTATCCGGGGCCCTGGTGGTACACTCAATCCTCCTGGGAGACACATGTCTAATATCACACGGAATGCCTGAGGGGAAATTTAAATTAGATACAGATGTCAGTAGTGATATCAATGGAGATACAGATATGGCCAGAGGACCACACTAAAGTAGACAGGCTCCTGTTGCAGGGCAAAAGGCCGGAAGTGGAGAGTAGAGAGAAAGTTGTGGGAGGAGGCAAGAAAGAGAATGCAGAGCAGTGGAACACAGGCCACTTAGAATGAATAATCAGGAAGAAAGCAGTGCCCAGCCATGCCGTTCCCTGGAGATGACCGAGCTAAGGAAAGGAACTATGACAGGAGAGTGTGAAGACATCGTCCAGTATCCTTGGTGTCACCAGCTAGAAGAGCATCCCATCAGGCAGAACAAAGGGTTCTAGGCAGGTTCCACAAAAGCATTTGCCAAGGGGGCATTCCAGAAGAATCTGTGTAGCAGATGCCCACCCACTCCTGCTTGTTTCTACAAACAGGGCTAAGGAGGGAGTGAGGTTGCCTTTTAGAAGGAGTGAAAAGTGAAAAAAAGTGAAAATACTAGTCGCTCAGTCGTGTCCCACTCTTTTGGACCCCATGGACTGTAGCCCACCAGGCTCCTCTATCCATGGAATTCTTCAGGGTAGAATACTGGAGTGGGTAGCCATTCCCTTCTCCAAGGGATCTTCCCAACTCAGGGATTAAGCCCTGGTCTTCTGCGATGCAGACAGATTCTTTACCATCTGAGCTGCCAGGGAAGCCCTTAAAAGAAATACTTTTGTGAAGAGGAGCTATGTTCTTGCTTCTCTTCCCTCCCCAGATGGGGACACCAAAGGGACTTGCTCTGATTTGTGAGTGTATCTGCAGCAGGACATTCTATTTCTGTTACATGTTTGCAGAGCTGCAGGGCCAAAATCCCCTGCTTTTCCCAGTCTCAACCAAACATAGGACAAAGACCATGAAATAGGGTCCCAGGAGGAGTCAGAAGAGGCAAAGATTGCTTCCCCTCCACCCTCTCCAGGCCAAAAGAGATAGATATATAATATCCTACAGTGTTCAAGTCTATGAACTCTTTTCAGTCATTTCGACTTACCTGCAATGGTAACCTGGGCAGGGTTGTCAAAGAAGTCTCCTGTAATTGTGATGTCTGTTCTTCCCCCAAGGCTCCCGGTTTCTGGAAACACAGACAGTATCTCTGCAAGAGGAAAAGAAAAGTAAGCTTCCAAATATAATCCAGGATGTGTCCCAATTAATAATATAATCATGTTGCTGCTGTTGTGTCACTAAGTCCTGTCTGACTCTTTGTGACCCCATGGACTGTAGCCTGCTAGGTTCCTCTGTCCATGGGATTTTCCAGGCAAGAATACTGGAGTGGGTTGCCATGTCCTTCTCCAGGGGATCTTCCCAACCCAGGGATTGAACCCACATCTCTTGTGTCTCCTAAACTGCAGGCAGATTCTTTACCGTCTGAGCCACTATACAGGATCAGTATTTGAAAAGAGTGGGAAATGCAGTTTTTCCCATGCAGTTTCTCCATGGTTGCTCATGCTATCAACAAAAATCCCTGTGTACCATGAGGCTTTCTTAGGAAATCTGTCTCCTCATTTCAGGGACCTTATTTATACATCACAGAACAAGAGATTATACTTTATGGAGGCATCAACTCTGCATGCATTGGTCAAGGTCTCAATTTATAAATGTGAATCTGTGATTTGCTCTAAGCAAAAGAATGAGTTATACTGTCATATGCCACAAGTCCCCAGGAATTTAACTTTTTCTGATCTTTTCCGCTCCTATGATCAAACTTTGAGAGTTCTAAGTTTCATCCCCTCAAAGGGAACAAGTAGGCATGTTCTCTGATTAACTGAAGGTACAAAGAGGCTAATTATGAGTGGTTAACACTCCAAAACAAAAGCAAGAGTCAAAATTCAGCTTTGACGGAGATAGGCCACCTAGAAAATGAATGGCATCGACTCTTCGACTTAGGAAATTTCTTGCACTTTTGGCAAAGGTAGATTCTGCTGCCTCTGGGATCTGAATCAGCCTCACAACTTTTCCGTGGTTTTGAGATTGTACTCAACTTGAGAACCTAGCACTCATTTTCAGTAGTCAGCTTTCTACTCCTGGACTGAGTTCATAATTTCATGCAAGTTTCCAGCTTTTCAGATTTTGCTCTTCTTTTATACTCATCAGATAGCAACACAAACTTAGCATCTGTATCAGCAAATCATAAATCCTTGAATGAATACTCAGAGGTGAGATGTTAAAGTAACTACAAAGATGTGCTTTTAGATTTTTTAGTGCCATCTCTTTTCTTTTAGAATGTACAATAAGGATGATTCCCCTTTCTTTTACTCAGTCTATATCCCTAGATTTTGTATAAAAATCCATGACCAAGCCTCTTTTAATATTTTAATTTTACTTTAAATTTACTTTTTAATAATTAATAAATAAATATTGGATTTAATATTAAAAAATTTAATTTAGTAACTAAAGCCAACACTCAACAGGCAACCTATTCTCATACAAACCCAAAGGGCCATCAATGACTACAGGAAAAGCTTCAGGTGTTAATGATCATAGAGAAATGGCCAGCAGGAAGGCACAGAGTCCAAGGTCCAGGGTGGTATGGGGGAAGGGGTGAAAAATACACAATTAAGGAAAATGGTACCTGAGTACGTCTGGTACAGAAAAAGGTCTTGCTTAGCACTGACCAGCCATGCATCCTTGTGTATCACTGACCTACAAAAAAAAAAGAACAAAACACAAAATTGTGTTTTGGATGAAAATTGCATCTGGGATTTCATTTTTTAGATTGACTGCTTAAAAGAAGATCACTAACTCTTAGTGATCTTTAAAACTGTTTAGATATTGGCTCCTTTTGATGACTAGAGAATACCAATGGGGCAAAGTTTGTTTTCTGATCTAGAAAATTACATGGGAATAATAATCCCTACTTTATAGAATGTGACTAGCATTAAATGGAATAATGAATGTGAAAGGGCTTGGTGTGGAAATGGCCCGTGGGAGGTATTCAATAGATACTAGTTTCATTCCTTTCTAAAAAAGAGACAGAGACACAGAGAGCAAATCTCCCTGTGTTGAGCTGAGTAGCTGTAGGTCATGTGTTATTATCTTCACAATGAAATTAATATCAGCTAGGCAATGCCCTTTTCAGGAAACACTGAAAAGTACATAGTTTTAGTACATGAGGTAAGGCAAGCAGAAATCCAGACTCCACATTTCTCTCTCCAGAGTTCTGTAAAATCTGGACCCTTTCCATCTTGAAGAAGGCATTTCCTGGAATGACACAAAGCACTTTATGGAACTTTGTACTGTTTTAAAATTCCAGTATTATGAGATTACTTAAGAAGTAATTCCCCAAATCTTATATCTTTATCATATTGAAACATTTACATCACTTCAAGATGAGTGCACAGGACACAATTATATTCACTCAGGTGAAAAAAAAGAATCAAGTATGTATGTGGAGTTTTATTACACTACTCTGTATACATTTGAAATTTTCCATTATAAAAGGTTAAAGATAACTAAGCAAGACAAGAGAGTAGATAAGGTAAGATAAAAATAAATTTGGTCCCTCCCAGTTACTTACTTTCCTTTGTTAAATACTGAGAAACTAACATTCTGGGAGCCTGTAACAAACAGAAACAAACATTAATACAGGAACCTGCATGAACTACACGGGCCAGGACATTGCTATCATAAAGCCAAGAAGTCCAGCGATCACCAAGTTACCACCCACACCTTAACTTCTCTAACACTGCTCGAAATAAACATGTTCCAGACTCGCACCATCAGCAATGGCAACATCTAACAATAAAAGGATAAATGTGATAGCAATAGAGCAGGCAAGGACTGGCTTGGAGTTAGACCAAGAATGATAAATCCTGCTCCACTGGTTACTAGCTTCAACTTTCTCACCTATAAAGCAAGAACAATCCCACCAGCCTCACAGGTACATGCGTGAGGATTAATTTAGTTTATATTTAAGCTGCTTCCTATAGCGTCTCTCAGAGAATTCTCAACAAATGATAATTATTATTATCATCCTCAGGAGAACCAATTCTTGAAATAGCTTCTTTCCGGACACAGAGACAAAGATGGATAAGACTTTAAAATTTAAAATTAAGACTTCTCAAACAGACCAATGTAGTTGCCTTCCACACGACACTGCAGAGTCCCAAGACCATGGTCTTCCTGAATAGGATAGCTAGGGAAAGAAGAGGAAAAGGTAAGAGAGAAGAATTACCTGGCAATTCATTTCAGAAGCTCTGGTTCTTTAGCCGGGAAAGTTATAAAGTAAAATAAAATAAAATTCTAACTAGAGTTATCATCAATACATACACAACCAGTCAAACACACAGTGTGAGAGACAAAATTTAACGTACTCCTCATCTCCTTTGGGTTCTTTCTTTCCAAAGTCTGTTTTATGACAAGGACAGCAAGATCATTATCACTGCCCCCCCCCCCAAAAAAATGTCTATTAGCAAGTATGAACCTGAAACAGGAAAATTCTAAGCAAACAAATGAAAAATAACAGGAAGAAACCACATTATACAATTTGCCTCTTCTAAATACTAGTCCTAAAAAGCTAAGCCACTGGGTACAGAAGGTCAATCCACTCAGTCCCGAGTGATTTGAAAAGGCCAGAAAAATGTTGATTATCTGAAAAGTAAGCACATAGATTCTTATTTTCTAAATTTTCCTTGTTATAAATGTACAATTGAACAATTGAAATTTTAGTGTCCCCGACCTCCCCCCCCTCCCCAGGCTAGTTGGTACAGTACAGTCGGTGAAAGGATGAACTCTGGATGTAGTACAGTGGTTAAGAGATGAACTCCGGAGGCTAGTGAGTGGAGCCAGGTTCAAATCCCAGCTCTGCCACTTGCTCTTCGTGAGACTCTGGGCAATTACTTCACCTCTCTGTGCCTCAGCTCCCAAATCTGTAAAGTGAGACTAAGAGCTGTATGCACTTACAAGGTTATTGGCTGCCTTCAGTGTGAAAGTGTTTATTCAGTAAGCACTTATTATTAGCTACCTGTGTTTTCAAGAAAGCTTTCTGAACCCACTTCAAGTTGCATTGTGAATCAATGACTGTGCCATTTCTAGGAAGTCTAAAGATAAGGCAGTCAACAGGCATGGGTGCTTTAAATTAAAAATAGATGTTTGTGTGTGTGCTATGCCCACATGGGAGAACCTAAAAACATAACATGTTGGCAAGAAAGATACTCACCGGGATCCTGTCTGTCTGTTCACAAGAGAGCAAGGAGTGACCCATTTGTCTCCCTGAGCTTCCAAAATCAGTGGACTGGATACAAAAAGGAAACAATAGACACAAGTCAAGAGGAGGGCTCTCCTCAAACATTTCTGGAAAAACTCAGAGGAAACATTGTTATGAACAGTCATCTCTTAACTTATGGGGCATTAGTGCAGGTAGCTGGGGACTGCCCCCGGAGGAGATGCTAAATCAGACCCTCAACCCTAGGGCAGGGTACATAACACTCGTCTGTGGCCCACACTTTCACACCAGTGAGGGAGCACTGCCCCTTTCCAGAAAAATCATCATCTTCTCCCCCTTGACTATATGGGGTCTACACAGAGCCGCTGAGGAGTGTATGCCTTTGTTCCTCCTAAACAGTATCCCAGACCAAGTAGTGAGGATGGCATGTCATCAAGGATGTACTTGGGGCTTCAAGTCTCCACGGGAAGAGTAATTTCCATTCAAGACAAGTTGACAATTATTATTATTATTTGGCCGCAGCACAGCTTGCTCTCCCTAACTAAGGATCCAGCTGGGGCCACAGCAGTGAAAAGTGCCGAGTCCTAACCGCTGGGCTGCCAGGGAATTCCCTGACCATCATTTTATGCCAGAAATGTAGATCCTGAAAGCAGCCAACTTCAAAATCAAAGGTTTGCGGCAGAACATGAGGATCCCCCATTCTATCCAAGGGGTGGAGGAAAAATTAGACATACTATGTGGCATCTCTCAGCAGAGCATCTCGTGAGGTTGTGGTCCTTCTACCTTATAAATTCTCACTATAACTGCTTCATGCTGAGTAACCACAGTTGCTTAGAGCTTCCCACAAACATATCAATTTCAACACCTTCTGTTCTGTTCTTCCCCTTCCCTTGCATGAAGGATTCACTAGTATCACTTTCCACTTTAAAAGTCTCCAGTGAAAAGAGTCACATAGGCATCCTATGTACCCAACCCTTTGCAACCCCATGTACAGTAACCCATCAAGGTCCTCTATCCATCAAATCACCCAGACAAGAATACTAGAGTGGGTTGCCATTTCCTTCTCCAAGGGATCTTCCTGACCCAGGAATCAAACCCATTTCTCCTGCTTGGCAGGCAGATTCTTTACTACTAAGCTACTGCTACTGCTGCTAAGTCACTTCAGTCGTGTCCGACTCTATGTGACCCCATAGATGGCAGCCCACCAGGCTCTGACATCCCTGGGATTCTCCAGGCAAGAGTACTGGAGTGGGTTGCCATTTCCTTCTCCAACTAAGCTACTAGAGAAGCCTTAATCATTCCCCCAAAATATTAAAAACTCAATTGCTTGCACAAATACCATATGACATCACTCATATGTGGAAACTAAAATATGACACAAATGAACTTATCTTCAAAACAGAAAGACTCACAGACATAGAAAATGGACTTGTGATTGCCAAGGGGGAGAAGAAGAGGAGGAAGACAAGATTGGGAGTTTGGGATTAACAGATGCAAACTATTACATATATTAATAGGATGAATAAACAATAAGATCATACTGTATAGCACAAGGAAATATATTCAGTGTCCTGTGATAAACCATAATGGAAAATACTATGAAAAAGAACGTGTATATATATATATATATATATACATAAAACTGAATCACTTTGCTGTACAATAGAAATCAACACAACATTGTAAATCAACTAGACTTCAATAAAATAAATTTTAAAAATAATCCAGTGGCTTTCTGTACATTTTCCACATTTTCCTCTGATCACACTAACAGAATTTCTAAATACACAGATGGATAACAAACAAGGATGTTACAGTGGTCAAGTTCACACATGCTTATAAAGGATTTATTCCAGCCTGAGAAACAAGAGGGAAAAGGGGAAGAATCAAGAAAGAAAATCCACAGATGCAATTACAGTACAACTCACACTGTGCCCAGAGTGACTAGTTGTCAGTAAATAAATGGACCGACTTAATCGACCAGTTGCAATTACATTAGCCAAGTTTGCTGAAGCCCAGCTCACCAGGGACCATAAACTGCAAAGAGGAAAATAGCAGTTCTGTGCCAACTGCTCACAATTTATTGCTATCAAGGAAGCCAGTCTCAGGGAGCAATCCTGCATATCAGTAACAGGTCGAACACAGAAACAAGCTCACACTTACCTATCAATGTACTCAGCATTAAAATCAAAGGTTTCCGACCTTCCGGTGATAATCCAGCCATACACATGTATTAGCTTTCCTGTTTGAAAATAAAAAATTTTTAATTAACCTATTCAGCTCACACTCTAAATATATAACATAAACGGTATTTCTTTTTCAGTTACCTCTACTCAAAACGGCCAAGCTGGTAGTGACTCAGAATATGAACACATTTTTATAAATTGTACAACAGGAAAGGATCACCAAGTATGACCCAGTCATTGATATCAAAGAAACAAAAACAATCAATCATTGTCATTGCAGACTTTATCATGTTGGTATGGAGCAGAAGGAATAGCAGGGCTTCCTAAGTCCCCTAAGTCTCCTAAGTCCCTAAGGGAGGGATAGAGGAAGGGAGGGAGGGGCCTGCTGAAATACACTGCCTTGTTCCCTGCTCTTGGCTGTGTATTTCATCAAGGGCACTCTCAGCACTACCCCCAACTTCTCTGCTCAGAGGACCTGGGAAAGAAATCTAGAGCAGCCCCTTCTCAGAAAACTTCTGGGGCCCATACCAGATGCTATGTGAGCTGACTTCCTCCAGAGTTGAAAAACACATAGATTCAGATCTGTGGAAATGCATGAAGCAAGGTTTGAAGCAAACACAGCATAGCAAGGCAATGCAGTTCAAGTTCACCATACAATCCCACAACTTGCAAGAGTATGCCTTCCAAGTAAAAATAGAATTTAACCATTGAGGCTGTCATCTTCCAGTATCACAATGCTAAGAGATAACAGAGGTGCTGATTAACTACACAAAACCTCAAAATTAGAAGAGAAAAGGGCACCTTTAGGGCTCATGAGGCCACTGACTTCAGAGGACTTTGAATTTCTTCATGGCTACACTTAAGGCCAAAAAAGAACATGACCAAGAAGTAATGCTTCCTGACATACTGTGCATATGTTTTATTAATAGGCAGTGATTTTATCTGCAGTCATTGGATGACTAGTCCTAAAACAATGGGAAACTTCCAGGAAGTACCGCAGGCACTTGACCAGAGAATGAGCAGAATGAGTGGGAAGTTAGTTGACTTAGACAAAGGTCATGGAATTGGCAGAAGCCAAGGGCTTCCCTGGTAGCTCAGCTGGTAAAGAATCCACCTGCAATGCAGGAGACCCTGGTTCAATTTCTGGGTTGGGAAGATCCCCTGGAGAAGGGATAATTTACCCACTCCAGTATTCTTGAGTTTCTCTGGTGACTCAGACGGTAAAGAAATTGCCTGTGATGCAGGAGACCTGGTTTAGTCCCTAGGTTGGGAAAACACCCTGGAGGAGAGCATGGCAACCCACTTCAGTATTCTTGCCTGGAGAATCCCCATGGACAAAGGGGCCCTGTGGGGCGCCCAGGGCTCCAGTCCATGGGGTCACAAAGAATTGGACGTGACTGAGCAACTAATCACAGCACAGCGCATAGAGTCTGAAGATCTCTACTACTGTTGCCGTCTAGCAAAATAATTCACCTTCATTTCATTAGGGTTAAATGATCAGTTTCCTGGGTTTGGCTGGCATGATTTCTACAACTGATGGGCACAATTTTTAAAACGAATAGAAGGTTATAGAAACTAGGAATTCCCGTGAGTTTTTGTTTTGTTTCTAAACAAAGAAACCTAACAGCAGCTGACAAATGGCTAAGCCAGACCATGTGCTGGGGGAGGTAGGGGGTGGATTCCACATCACAGTGGACGACTGTTAACCACATATAGGAAATCAACTGCTCACAACATATCTCCGCTATCCCCACCACCTCCCCCATCTCCGCGGCTGCTACTCTGGGCAGGCTTCCCAAAGGAAATGAGAGTAATCGTCTGGAAAGTGATTTCAAAGATGCAGCCGTGTGGATCCTGCCCAGGGGGACCACTCCAACCAGTTCTCCCAAAGGTGGAGAAGACAGTGTGAAGAACTCAAACTGGGTGGCAGAGATGGCCCTGATGAATCTGAGTGCCAGCCGGTACCCTGTGTCACACCTCTCACAACAGGCTCCCTCCTCATCTTTCATCCTAACAAGGCTTCTATCGTCCAAACAGGAGTTTTCTAACACCAGAGCAGGGGGAGCAAAATGATGGCATGTGACTTTCACAAGTCACATCTCTTTTTAACAAAACATGATCATGTCTTGATTATTGAGATGAGTAGAAAGGAACAGATCTGTGAATAATGTGCACTAATGATGCCAAATTCATATTCTTCAGGATGTAATTTAAAAAATACATATATCATCTGTGTCTATACACACACATGCACCAAGAAGTACAGACACTTTTCAGTGACTCAGATATTCATTTCGACATTCTTGAGCCATTCGAAACTAGATCAGTTTGTGCACTGAGACCCAATCACATGTAAAAATTGAACAACTTGTATCCCCATACTTATACCATCTGGAATCCCTGAACAAATGAAAAACCTAAAATAGATACAGGAATTTGTCAAGAATCAGACTGCAAATTGTATGTAATTCTAGCTCTGTTTACTACTTAGTTTTAAAGTAGGCTTGGCAGGTCTTAGTTGCAACACTTTCTTTTACATCCAGCCTCAACCCCACCAGCTTTCTCTCTCTTTTTTTCTCTCCTCTTGGTCTCTGCATATCAGTGTGCTCTCTAACTCATAAACAAACTCCCAGGATTAGGGCCAGAGTTAATGGCCTTCCAAGTGGCCCCCAACTCAGCTCAACACAAAATACAATGTAAGGTACATGGGCCCACTCTAGATTCTGTCTGGGTCCAAACCTCAGCTTGACCACTCATTAGGGGTATGCCTTTAAACAAATTGCTTAACTTTATGGTACCTCATTTTCTCATCTCCATAATGGAACTAATAATAGTTCTTATAGCACTAGGTGTTTTGAGGATCTAAGGAGATAACATAAACCAAAAGCTTAGAACAGATCCTGGCTCCCAGCAAGGGTCAATAAAGGTTTGCTAGTATGTGGATGATTATAAACTTAAGCGTGATGATGATATCTATTTTCTCCATTCTCCAGCAACACCTGGTTTGATTTTGCTGGTCTCTTTTTCATTTCACATAAGGATTCCTTTGATTATCAGTGAAGTAATAGAGCAAAAGTGCCCAGAGGTGAAACCAAACCAGGTTTAAAGTCAACCAGAGGTTGACACTCACCTTCAAAACGACATCAGAGAAGTGGTAAGATTTTCCTGTGTATAGAGACCACCTACCAGGGTCAAAGAGTTTGCGATAGCCTTGGTAAAGAGATTCTTATTTATTCCTTTCTTAATAGATTTCTCACCTGGAACTCCACTGGGTGGATTAACTCGGTAAACAATTGGTGTCTGTGCCCTGGAAAACTGTTTAGAAAATGTTATCACGGTAAGCATTCCATTAGAATAGCACAAAAACACACACAAGCAGCGTGTCATTCCTCACAGATCATTCATCTCAGGAAGCAAGTCACTGTATTTCCTCAAATCACTTCTACTTCTTTGCATCTTTATGATATTTCTGTGAAGCAGACATGATAGATGTTATCACAGTTCTTCATAGATGAGGTCAAGGGAATCTGACAAGGTCATGAGTCTCCCCTGCACCATTATCACTCACACCTGGGCAAGTCTGTGTCTACCTGCCCACCGGTCATAACAGGAGCATGTTTTACGAAAGGCAAGGTAGGCAAGCCATGCTTTAAAATACCAACCTTTTAATTCCATTATTGCAACTTGATATCTTGGGGTCTTGAAGTGTTTTTTTTAAAACTCTTCTGGACAATAATTTGCTTATTTAAATTGAAAGGATTGCAACTTAAATTATTATCAGCCAGCACCTCGGTAGGGACTAGCAAGCCACGAAAAATTAGAAGTTTGAGAGATATGCAAAGGAGATTTGTTCGGGAAAATGGAATGTGCCTTTTGGGAGGGAAACATGATTCAACGAATGAAAAGCAACATTATTCTCTGAAGAGGAAACCAGCATTGATGGGAGAGGCAGGGGAAGCCTGGTCGTGGCACTCAAGTCACCCCCTGAAGCACACCATCTGCTAAATATAAGTTCCAGAGAGTCAGGGGCACTGGCTAAGTCATTGGTTGTATCCCTAGGCACAGCCTGGTATAAGAAGACATTTACATTTTTGTGAATGCATGTAGAGGCCCCATCTGAGATAACTGACCCACTGCCCGGAATCAGAGGAGAAATGGAGACAATTCCAGGAATTCCATATCACCTATCATCCTCTGGGTTAGCCCAGTTACAGCATTTCACAGTCAGGGCCAGTGGGAAGAAATGGAGAATCATAAGGATAGACAGCCCTGGCCAAAGTTTGAGCCATGTGCTAATAATTCACCCAGGAGGAAACCCAGTCTCCCCATCCTGCTACCCTCACCCCCATCTCTTACAGACACCTAGACCACTTTCCCTCCCCAAACCTACAGTACCTCCCGTTTGCCAAGAAAGCAAATTGTTTGGCTTGGTCAGCTTCCAGCACCCCAGGAGTCCACCTTCCCAGGGAGAAGGTCACTGAAGAGTTACTCCGGTATTAATCACCAGCCCTCATCAGACATCGTGAATCAACAGACATTGATAGTGTCTGGGCAAGTGCGGCCTTATGTATTGATTCACACAGCTGTGCAGTCTGTCATCAAGGTTAGTTTCCTCCCTTCCTAACAGAAAAGGTTAGAAAAGAGTGCACAGGAAATATGTACAGTCCGGGGGTCAAAATAAGAATGCTGTGACTTCACAGGCTGGGAGCCGTCTCTGATGGCACCGAAGGATAAAGATTAACAGCTCCACACACACTTGCCAACATACACTCACCCTCTCCCAGTCTCCTCCCGCACCCAGACCTCCACCTCCTACGGGGACACCTCTCGGACCACCGTCATGCCCACTGGGACTTTATCATGCCAGCTTCATGAAATAGAGCAGTGGTTACTGCTCCATCTCCCAGATGTTAGAAATGGAGGCAGATAAAACAACCAAGTCCAAACCACACAAGAAAACACACCCGTCAATTTCCAGCTTAAAATACAAGGTCTGCCCTTCAGCTGTGTGCCTTCCTCCAGAAGAACAGGGGAGAGAAAGCGACTCCTTGATCAGCCCTCCCAGGTCCTCAGGGTGGTGGAGCAGGCTCAGAGGGAAACCTCGGAAAGGGCTTCACTTGTGATTTCTCTGTGAGCTGACATGACATAAAGCGGTACTTTTTTAAGAGAAACAGGCCTCTGGTCACCCACCAAGCTAGAGACATGACAGAGTGAAAAATTAATGAGCTTCCAAATCCAGCTTTCCGCATGCTGATCCCTGAGCCCGAGTGGGGTCGGCAGCAGCAAGATGGGGAGCTGAAAAGCAGAGGATGAGAGTGACAAAGCCGAGCCACCAGCTGCTTGATAAACCTTCTGTGAGCTGTTCTAACTTGTCAGTGCCTGCAGCAGGCTCTTTGGAGTGGACTGGCGAGGTGGAATTAATTTTTAATACACACAGTTCCCCCAGTCCCAGTCCCTAAACAAAGGCAGACACCGGGTTTCCTTCAGCTCAGAATGCCTCTCATTAACTGCATCCCCTGGTGATTTTTCATCAACTTACTGAGTTCGGGGAACCACTGATGGACTTGCTTTCTTTAATGTGTGATTTTAGGAAGTGTTTCTTTTCTTTCCCCTCTCTCTCCTTCCCAATCTTTTAATCAGTAGGAAAACTATTATCTGGGGTGAAAGGCCATCAAAACCAAAAACAGCATGGTGATTAAGGACCATGCCCGGCCATCTCTCTTCTGTTTTATTCATTGAGACAGGGTAGAGGTGGTGGTGCGAGTCTTAATAAAAAAAGAATAATTTTTTTTTTTCTTTCTGCCCCATATGTGCAGAAGCAAAATTCTGGAAAACAAGATTCCTTTGCAGGGAGAAACAAGTTGCTAAATGTGAATTGATGGCAAATTCTAAAGATGAATTGCCTATGCCTATATTAAAATGCAGATCGTATGAGAGATGAATTTGGAAAATGAAGACTTGTCTTATAATAACTAAACTGTGTTCTTAGGCACCCTTCTAAACGGAGGCTCCTTGTGGGAAGTACAACCATGGCAAGGGGCCCTGCTGAACCACTGCCCATTATGGAAAGTCTAGAACCTATGCTTTCAGAGATTATTTTAGTGTATTAATAAAACCAACCTGAAATGGACAGTAGACTAAACAACATTAAGCCCCAACATAAAATTAATGCATATGGAAGCTCTAAAATAAGCCCAGGCATTGGCTCATAAACTCTCTCTCACTCCCCCAACCACACCCACCCCGCCCCACTCTGATTGCTTTTGGCTGTCTCTGAGCTTGAAGGAGAATTCCAGCAGCAAATGCCCTTTCAGTTGAGGACTGGACGGAGAAGCAGAAATCAACCATGAAGCAGAGAGGAAGGCACAACTTGGGTCCCCGAGTCCCTTCACCACGCTGACACTCCAGATGATTTCTGTAAGATGAAGCACCGATGCCCAATGGTAATCTTTGAGGCTCCTCTATGGGCTTCCATTTAAATGAGGATTTAGATGTAGATTCAAATCCTGGCTCTGCAATTTATGAACTGGATGACATGGCCAAATTATTTAATCTCCCTGACTCCCAGGTTTCTCACCTGTAAAAGCAGGATAATAAAAAGCTACCCCATAAAATTGTTGTATTAAGTTAATGAGTATAAAGCACTTAGCAAGATCCTGACATTCACATGCTCTATACTTTCTTTCTTAAGATAGTCTCAGAAACCCCATAACTATCATCCACCTGCCCTCTCATCCTGGCAAAGCAGACAGACTCCCTAGCTGAGGTGTCACTTGCTTGTCGACAGTGTAAGCACACCCTCAGATGAGGCTAACACACTTTCTTCCATCCTTGGAACCCACCTTGAAAGTGCAGCTGTCTTGTGGTCCTGGATGTGGACTGCCTACCACCTGTCCGCCAGCCTGCACTTCCAGGGAGTACACACCCTCCTGTGCTTCAGATGGCAGAGATCTGAGGGCAGAAAGTGGAAATCCGTATGAATCACCCATGAACTGCCATCGACGGAGGAATGGACAAAGATGTGGTACACGAATACAATGGAATATCACTCAGCCATAAAGAGGAACGAAGCTGAGTCATTTGTAGTGATGTAGATGAATAAAGGGTCTGTCATACAAAGTAAAGTAAGTCAGAAAAGAGAAAAACAAGCATCATATATGAACGCATATGCATGGAACCTAGAAAAAATAGAACTGATGAACCTATTTGCAGGACAGGAATAGAGACACGGATGTAGAGAACGGACTTGTGGACATGGTGGGGAAGGAGAGGGTGGGATGAATTGAGAGGGTAGCATTGACATCTATACACTGCTGCTGCTGCTAAGTCACTTCAGTCGTGTCCGACTCCGTGTGATCCCATAGACGGCAGCCCACCAGGCTCCCCCGTCCCTGGGATTCTCCAGGCAAGAACACTGGAGTGGGTTGCCATTTCCTTCTCCANAGATTGGATCCTTCAGCAAAAGAAGTTATGGATCTTTTATTGAAAGTTCCTGAAATTTTAAAAATTCTGTCCTGTAAAGAGCTGGAAGGGAATTTGACAGATAATATACTCTAGTTTCTATTTAAAAAATAATGAGTTCCATATAAAGGGGATTCCCAAGTGACTCAGTGGGAAAGAATCCTCCTGCCACTGTAGGAGATTCAGGTTTGATCCCTGGGTTGGGGAAGGTGTCCTGGAGGAGGAAATGGCAACCCACTCCAGTATTCTTGCCTGGGAAATCCCACGGACAGATGAGTCTGGCAGGCTACAGTCCATGGGGTCACAAAGAATCACACATGACTTGGCAACTAAATAACAACAATTAATGGATTAAGGGACCTGGGTATGTAAACACCAATGTGAAGGGCAAAGTAAGACCTGAGTCCTAGGCTCTTTCTGATAAAAGGCATTGATTTTACATGTTGCCAAAAACTCTTGACTTAACACTTATTCCAGCAGCCCATAAACACTCCCCTTATCCCCCAGAGAGTCCTAGACCTTCACTCCTCTTTTCATGAAGATCACAGGGATTTCTTTGCCTTTTCAAGGCTGCCATTCAGTCTGATTTTTGTGAGAGGAGAATATGATGAATACGGAGTTAGATTTTAGAAGTGTCTCCCCTCCAAAACTTATCCTAAAATCTTTAGCATTACCCAAAATATTTAAATCTTCACTGTCCAATGTGCTAGCCATTAGCCATATGTGATTACTGAACAGTGGCTAGTCCCAGACTTCCCAGGTGGGTCAGAGGTTAAGAATCCGGCTGCCAATGCAGGGGACAAGGGTTCAAGCCCTGCTCCAGGAAGATTCCCCATGCTGCCAAGCAACTGAGTCTATGCCACAGTTGACTCTGCACACCCTAGAGCCTGTGCTCTGCAACAAGAGAAGCCACTGCAAACAGAAGCCTATGCACTGCAGCTAGAGGGGAGCCCCTGCTCCCCAAAACTAGAGAAAGCGTGCACACAGCAACAAACACCAGTGTAGCCCTAAATAAAGAAATAAATAAAATATTTATTAAAAAAAGAAGAATTGTGGCTAGTACCAATTAAGATATTCTATTAAGGTAAAATACACACTGGGTTTTGAAGACTTTGTATGCAAAGAAGGGTATAAAGTAGCTCATTAATAATTTATATATTGACTACATGCAAAATGACAGTATTTCGGATATGTTGAGCTAAATAACATGTGTCATTAAAATTAATTTCACCTCTTTCTTTTGAATTTTTTAAGTGACTACTAGAAAATGTTAAGTTTTCTTTGTGGCTCGCATTATATTTTGGTTGGGCAGTGCTGATTTTAGATGCTCCAGTGCCAAATTTTGCAAACTCAGACATGTCTTTTTATGATAATGACAGTATTTCATAGATTATTTTCCCACACTTGAGTGCTAATTTAATTTGATATTCATCTTCCAATCAATGAGTACATTTAAGAGGGTTGTATTTCTTTTCTTCTAAAATGGTGATAAAAAGTCAATGGTGCATCTTAAAGTTACTAGTATGTTGGGGTTGAGGAGATAGAACATACAAATTGTTAAGAGTGTTGACTTATTTCATAGCAAGTTCTTGCAAGAATTCTATTCCCCAAAATATTGTATAACCTGTGGAAATCATCTCTCCCTGTAGTAATGCGGTAAGGAACTTCAGTTTAAGAAATATCTATTGAGCATCTTCTACTAGCAAAATATTATGCTCAGCATCATAAGGACTACAAGGATGAGTTAATCACATTCTCTGTCTTCAAAGCACTTAATTCCATGAGGATGAATCTGAAAGTGAGCAGCTGCCATAGTGTCAGGAGAAACAAAAAGCTGAGGAAACAGGGCCACTAAGACTGTGCATACTGTGCCTTTGTGTTAATTACAAAAAGGTCCTCCCTCAAGGAAGATGAATTGCACAAAAAAGTGTGTAACACACACACAAACACACACATCATGTGGATGAATTCCTAGAATGCTCCTTCCTCAAAGCCTGGATTTCAATTCCTACTTGTCCCCCTGTGAAGGAAGGGAAAGATGATACACAGTTGACTGTTCAGGGGCAAGGGAGTATTTGCAGTATGGTTGGTTCAATAGGCAGAGATGGAAGAGGGGGAGCTTTCCTGAAAGAGGGAACAGAAAACAAAAGGAAATCATAATTTCCTTTTCTCTTAACCAATGATCCACTTTCAGGCAGCATGTCTAAGATATTAAAGAAAGAATGAACTAGGGTAAACTTTGGTGGCCAACGAAAACTTAAGTAGGACAATAGAAAACCTGGAATCCTATAAACATCACATCGAACTCAGAAAAGAAACTGAAGACTAAAGTGAATTTCCTTTCTAATTGGTTTTTAGTTAATGTACAGTCATTACAATTACGCCTATTCCAAAAGCGATAGTTGCTCAGTCCTGTCTGACCCTTTGCGACCCCATAGACTGTAGCCTACCAGGCTCCTCTGGTCATGGAATTTTCCAGGCAAGAATACTGGAGTGGGTTGCCATTCCCTTCTCCAGAGGATCTTCCTGACTCGGATTTAACCCGGGTCTCCCGCACTGCAAGCAGATTCTTTACCATCTAAGCCACCAGGGAAGAAGATGGTAAAATGGCCTCATTTACTAAAATTTGAATAGCAATAGAAACCTTGAAAAAAAAAAATCAACAACTGGAAACATAATCCAACTCCTCCTTATAAATATTGTAAAATTCTCAAAAATCTTTCCCATAGTCTCATCCTTTCCCATATCTCATCCTCATTAAGCCCTAAAGCCCTGATAGGGAACTATATTGGTAAATGCAATCAGTGCACGAGTTGCTCTAATTCACCACCAAAAGCTACAGAGATGAAGAAAGTACTCATCCCATCTGGCCTTCTCAGTCCCGGGTACCTGGTCCTGCACATCACGGCTGGGACATCCAGGAAGAGAGGAGAGACGTCACAGGGGATGCTGGGCAGCCTGGGCAGGGCCACATTCACCAGGTGGATCTCCAGCTGAGAGCCGTTGGCAGGTTGAAGGAGACCCAGCTCCAAACCTGAACACAAGGCACAGGGGAGTCTCGGGCTGAACAGAGCTGTAATCCACACTGGGCAATACAAAAACATGCCACATGGGGGCAGTGGGAGGCACTGAGTTTACCCAAAATTCAAAGGCTCCTTATTTCCAAAGGCATTCGGAATGCCATATAAATTGAGTGCTTTCATTTAAGACTTTACTTTTTTAAAAATTCTCTTTTCAGGTCCATCCATCTAGATCCAGGAAAGATTTCTCCAACCCTGAAAGTTACTCTTTATTGTGGAGAAAAATGGAGACACTGAACCATGGTTTAGAAACTCCCACATGTAGGATTATCAACAAGGAAGATAACCAAGGTCCTGGAGACACATTGCCAAGTTCTCTGCTACATGTGGATCATCTCATCAGGGTTCCTTGAGTCCACTCCACAGCTCCGAATAAGGAAATAGACCCAAACACAGAATGGTGTGATGTGACATTAGCAAGTGGGCATCTATTAATAGTAACAGAGAGGGTGTTCAGTAGGTCCATCCCCCTTCAGAACCTCTTTTACATCTGTCCTTAGACAAGAAGAAAACCAAAGACTCACATCCTTTAGGATTCTTTAGATCAGTAAATAGGAAACTTGCATTCAGCAAGACCAAAACCTACCATCAAAAATGACTGTGATCCACGTCCCCCCTGCGAGGCTACCTTCTTCAGGTTCAATGTGGATATTCAGACAAGGCACTGTAAGTGAAGAGGAGAAACACTGGCTTCAGTGTGCAAATTAAATCCCCCAGCTTCCTTTTAGCATTCCTCAGAATCACCAACAGGGCTTGATACAGCCTAGAACAACAGCCCCACCCCCAGAGTTTCTGCTTCAGTAATCTGGGTAAAGCCCAAGAATTTGCATTTCTGACAAAGTGCCACTGTGCTTTCAGTCTGGAGAATCACACCTTCAAAACTCCCATTTTAGGAAAAGTTCTGACTGATCCTAGACATCCAAAAACCCAATGTTCACCAAGACTATCCTGAATTTCCACTTCCTTTGGGAGAAGCCTCAAGGATACATTTGGTTCCTGTTGGAAACCGAAAGATGTCTTCCCTCTTTCTCACTGTTTAATCAGGTGGTCATAGTTTTATGTGCGTGTGTGTGCTCAGTAACTCAGTCATGCCCGACTCTTTGTGACCCCAGGGACTGCAGCCCACCAGGTTCCTCTACCTAAGGAAGAATACTAGAGTGGGTTGCCATGCCCTCCTCTAGGGGATCTTCCTGACCCAAGCATCAAACCTGTATTTCTTGCGTCTCCTGAATTGCAGGCGAATTCTTTATTCATCAGGTCATATTTTACAGTTACCACTTATTTCTAATATTTCCACTTCCCAGAAACTTTCAGAAGCTGTCTCTATTTTAATCCTCCTACTCAGCGCACCATCCTCTTTTGAATACATGATCAGAATGACTCCCCAAATAGATACAGAATCCTCTAAATTTTTGCTTTGCCTGCTCAGAGAAGCAGTGAAGCATGAATCAGTTGATGGAATTAAAAAAAAAAAAAAGCAACACTATAGGCTTGCACACTAGGCTCAACTGGATTCTCCCATACAGAGTGGAGGCTGAGTATGACGTTATCAATGCGTCATCTTTTGAGAGTGCTCCTGGATGGACATTCCTTGTCCGAGGTAAAGCCAGCAAAAATCAGTCAGCTCCTCAGTGAGGCCTACGAAACACTTTGCAGTTTCGGTATCAGAGAAGTTAAAGGATCATCAAAGCCCCGCCAACTCTGGCAAGCCAAGGGCTTCCGTGTACTTATATGCGGGAGGCACAGTGCCCAGTGATGATGTAACTGAGGAGGACCCCATGCGGCCTTCCCAGGAGGGGTGGGGGGACCAAGAGGCTTTTCCCCATAGCCTCTGCTTTACCTACTCTCTGAGGCATCGGGGTAACAGTATTTGATTAGCATTTCCTAAGCTGCTCTGCAAATATGAAAATCCCCCACCAAGTGGAAGATGTTTAACTACTTGATGAGCCTAGCACAGAGCCCCAGGCCTTCAGGAGCCTGAGGACTGATAATGTTAACCTTCTGTGACAGCATCCTGTTTCCTCACCACCATCAGTCAGAATTGTGCACCGCTGACCCGATGACCCACCCCCCCACCTCCCCCCTCGACCCCCGACTCTCATCTGGCTTTTATAATGGCTTTGATGAAACCCTTCAGAGAACTCAGGTTTGTTTTCTTTCCCACCCCCACCAGGGGATGAGCTATCATTCTCCTTGCACAGCCCTGCAATAAACATTTCTCTGCTCCAAACTCTGACGTTTCAGCTTGTTTGGCCTCACTCTACGTTGGGAACATGAACTTGCACTAACAGTAAAGGCACATTCACAAGAACACAATCATTGGTGGCACTCTGGCCAGACCAGCTCACACTCGCCCTCAAAGCTGTATTAGACGTGTGTGCACTCAGGTGCTTCAGCCGTGTCCGACTCCTTGCGACCCATGGACTGCAGCCCAGGCTCTTCTGTCCATGGGACTTTCCAGGCAAGAATACTGGAGTGGGTTGCCCTTTCCTTTTTCAGGGTATCTTCCTGACCCAGGAATTGAACCTGTGTCTCCTGCATCTCCTGCATTGGCAGGCCTTTTTTTACCTCTAGCGCCACTTGTGAAGCCCCCAAGAAGATAGAGAGGATAACTGAATTCGCTGAGAAAAGTAGAGACACAATTTCAGAAAAGAAAATTTTAGTTCGCCATTCGCTGCTAAGACAGGCTAAGCCTTCCTTTGGGAAGATAAAGTAATAAAATCTAAAAAGAACTGCATTGTATAGCTCAAAAAGGAAGTATAAAAAGAAGATTATAAGTTATTATTAAAAGCTCTAGATTATAACAGCAACTTCCACTGGCTGTTAAAAATTAAAGTATATATTTATAACTGTTTAATGTACAACCTCAACTACTAAACAGAAAAAAATATATTAAGCAGAGAAAATTCAGACTTAGAGCAGACACTAGTATGTCATCCCCGATGATATTTCAGTTGAGCTCAGTTCAGTTCAGTCACTCAGTCATCTCCGACTCTTTGTGACCCCATGGACTGCAGCATGCCAGGCTTCCGGGTCCATCACCAACTCCCGGAGCTTGCTCAAACTCATGTCCATTGAGTCAGTGATGCCATCCAACCATCTCATCCTCTGTCGTCCCCTTCTCCTCCTGCCTTCAATCTTTCCCAATAATATTTAAGTATCAATAAACTAGTTCTCAAGGTAACCTGTTGTGGTCTCCCTAAAATCTCTTCAAAACACATTCACTCACCTGCCAAAAGTAGTATTTTGATACTTGTCAGAGAGATCAGCCAGCCAGTCATCTTTTCCGCTGAAATCGATCCTTTCAAAATTGCTCAGACATTAAACACATCTTCAATTTTGATTGGAGCAGCATAGCTTTATAAAAACAAACTGAAAACAATGACTATCATTTTTGCTTACATACAATTGTTTTGCTGTGTTAAAACTTGGAAAATTAAGGAGATTATACTAACAGGACCCTAGAATCTTCTGAGAGACCCACCATCATCCCAACTTGCAAGAAAAGGACAATCTAAGAATCTTACATAAAATCATCACTATTCTACCCCCTCTCCTTGTCTCATTCACTTATTTTATGCATACTTAAGCTAGGTAAGTAATAGTAACCTCTTGCATTAATTCATTTTAAACAAACACTTACATTTTAAAAGTAAATTCCAGAGTCAAAATACTAGCTAATGGCGGAGGGGGGGGGGTGTTTTGTTTTGTTTTCTGGAAGTCTGTACCCCAGGAAGCAATTAACACGCAAAAAAAGAGTAAAGAGCTTAACAAAATGAATGTTAAACATGGTAACAGGTTGAAAAACTGCTGCTAATGGAAATTTGGAGGACATTATCTTACTCTGGTGCCTCAGCCATAAAGAATCTGCCTGCAATGCAGGAGACTGGGGTTCGATCCTGGGGTGGGGAAGCTCCCCTGGAGGAGGGCATGGCAACCCACTCCAGTACTCTTGCCTGGAGAATCCCATGGACAGAGGATTTTGGCAGGCTACAGTCCATAGGGTCACACAGAGTCGGACACGACTGAAGCGACGCAGCAGCAGCAGCATCTTACCCTCACAGCAGAAGAAACAGGGAGGGAGAAACAGGAAGAAAAAGCTGGACCCTCCAAACTGGACCCCAGGACCCCAGGCCCCTCTACCTCAATCCGCAATGCCTGGATCATCTTCCTTAAACGCTGCCTTCACTGTGGCATTGTCCTGTTTAATGCTTTCAATTCAAAGCAAAACCTCTATCACGTCAAACAGAGGATAAGAACACTTGGGAGGATTTTTATTAAGAATAACTGAGGTGATATATACCTAAAGAAGTTAACACAGGGCCTGGTACAAAGAAGACAGTCACAAAGGTCGGTTTTCCTTTCAAAGGCTCTCTGCTTCCCACAGAAAGCCCCGACTCTGCAGTTTCACCAAGACCTGCCCCTCACCGTTCCAACTTCCCCTTTCACTGCACCCAGCAAGCTCCCCACAAGGCAGCCTCTGCCTCGGATCCTGCTGGTCCCTTTCTAGAGTCCCCCAGCTTTCTTGGGCCCTAACGAATTCCTGGCTTCCTTCAGGACCCATCTCAGGAGCTGCCTCTCCACGAAATCTGTCGCCCACATAGATTCATAAATTAACTGGCCCACGGACTTCCATGGTGGTCCAGTGGCTAAAACTCCACACTCACAATGTAGGGGGCCCAAGTCAGGGAACTAGATCCCACGTGCTGCAACCAAGACACAGTGCAGCCAAATTAATAAAGGCAAGAAAAAAATTAACTGGTCTCCAAATACAGAGAGCAAGGGGAGACCTTAGAAGGAGGCAGACACTCCAGATTGGCAGGTGCTCGGTTTCATAAGCAGGAAAACTTACATACAAGGCTTGTCTTGGGTGTTAGCAAGATGAATAGATTTCCACCCATCACAATCTTAAAAGTTTATACAGAGGCTTGAACAGAGTTCAGTCACGTGTTCAATCCCAGTGATCTCAATGCCACATGGCTCTCTCAAAACTTCACATTTGAAAACAGCTCCTGTTGTGGAACCTTTGGGCAAAACGTACATTTCAAGTACACGGGGTGGGGTGGGAGGAGACCTGCTTGCCGGTGGACTGGTGGTCACGCCCTGTCCACAACCTCCGCCAGCATCCACCCCTCTTGACCTTGTAACAGGTGAAGCAAGACTCCACATGTTAACATTATATCCTCAATGAAACAGACCCCTTTCATTGATATTGGGGNTTTTACACCTATTTGGAATAGGATTCATTTTTCAAACATTTAATTTTCAGAAATACATCTACTGCCTAGAGAAAAGTACCGAGGAGTTACAGTCCAAAAGCACCAAATTTGATTTACTTGTCACACCCAACAGAAGTGTCACACCTAACAGAATATTTTGGGCACAAGAGAGTCGATTTTCAATCTGACTGGGATTTTAACATTTTATTTTGGTGCCTACTCCCAAATTTAGAACATCAGAAGTAAATAGTCACATATTGGTTTTCTTAAAACCCTGTGTTGGGAGGGGGCAGGTGGGAGGAAATGGGTGATTGGAATTGACACATATACACTATCCATAAATACTATGTATAAAACAGATAACTAATGACAACATACTATAAAGCACAGGAAACTCTAGTCAAAGCACTGTGGAGACCTGAATCGGATGGAAGTCCAAAAGAGAGGGGGTACATGTCCCTGGACGGCCAATTCCTTTTGCTGAGCAGTAGAAACTAATACAACATTGTAAATTAACTATACGCCAATAAAAATTAATTGTTAAAAAACCTCTGTGTTCAGACCTACATCTTCCCTCTAACATAGATCAATCAAACCAATAACAAATGTATTTTCTCTTAATATGATTATCCACTAATTCTTCCTAAGAACAAACTCAGCCTCCATTTAAATACTTTCACCAGAATATTTTCAACCAGAGGAGAGCTGTGTGCATCGGGTCAGTTCTCTCCCCGCTGTCTCTCTCTTCCCACTCTGCCCTCATTCTTCCTCCTCCTCTCTCTCCCCTTCCCAGCCCCGTTCCCTTTGGGACTTTGAAAGACAGACCTGCAAGGTTGCTACATGTATCCCCCAGCCTTCCTTTGTTTAACGTATGAGCAAAAAGGCGACGCCTAGAAAACACACAGCAAAGACATTTCTGAACCCAACAGTACCTTTTCCTGTTTCTCTCTCCTTTGGACTCAAGGGAGGAGTTCTTTCCTTTCAGAATGACCTTGTTCCTTTCAGAATGACCTTGTTCCCCTTAGAAACCGATGGCCATGTTACCTGGTTAGAGCCCACCCGCAGTGGCACAGGTAACTTACTTGTGTCGGACTGTAACTCACCTAACTCGTTCCTGTCCCAGCCAAACCTGTGTTAAAGAAAAAATTCAGCGCTGACCATGGGGCAAGTTTAATGATTAACACAAGCTATGAGGCTTTTTACCCATGATCTTTTATTAACCACCAAAAAAAGTCTTACATTTTTTTCCACTTACATGTACCCTAGACAAGATGTTTAGATGAAAGCTCACCCAAGGAGACAGACAGGCATTCAATGATTGAAAGAATTTGTCGGTAAGTTAATGATCGAACACAAGCCCAGGAGAAAGGGCCACCAAAGGACTGGTTCCCATTCATGAGCAGTCTCTGACTTCTCATCAAGAGGAAAGGCTGCTAAATGCCCTGCCTCAGGTTGGCATTCTCACTATGAGGGAGTGAGTCTAAATGTTACTGAGTCCAACTGCATGGCAGGCCAATGAATCAGAGACAGGTGTTGGGGTAAGGAATCCACTTTAGGAGAGCCCGTTGACCAATAAGATGACAGACGATCTCAAAATAAGTGCCTTATCAGGGTCTGATGCCAGGTCCTTTTACAGATCAGAGATGGGGGAGTGAAGAAACAAAGTAACAAGGCCATTAATCTTGCAAATATCTCCTAGTCTGGCAAGCCTGAGGCAAGGGATGTCTTAATTTCTTCCTTCCTACCATCTACAGGTGGACAGGGTTATAAACAAAGGCACTTTAACAGTCAGGCAGAGGGGCAGGATTCTCCCTGGGCAGTTCTGTGTGATTATAATAACAAAAGAGCAAGTCACAAAACCAGTTCCAACATGAAGTGCGAGTTGGCTTTTCCCTGCAACCTAATGGGCTTCCCTTGTAGCTCAGTTGGTGAAGAATCTGCCTGCAGTGCAAGAGACCTGGGTTTGATTCCTGAGTTTAGAAGATCCCCTGGAGAAGGGATAGGCTACCCACTCCAGTATTCTTGGACTTCCCTGTGGCTCAGCTGGTAAATAATCCGCCAGCAATGTGGGAGACCCAAGTTCAGTTATTGGGTTGGGAAGATTTCCTGGAGGAGGGAAAAGTCACCCACTCCAGTATTCTGACCTGTAGAATTTCATGGACTGTATAGTTCATGGGGTCACTGGACTGTATAATCCATGGGGTTGCAAGGAGTCGGACATGACTGAGTGACTTTCACTGCAACCTAAAAAAGGAAACAGAAGATGATCTACTCAAAGTTTTGCTGAGAAAAGTCTTGTGCAAGCCCTATTTTCTCACTTTCATCCCTCCCTCCTGATCTTGCCTTTTGGCCAAGAAGAAGTCCTTGGCTTCCACCCATTACCTCCTGTTAGGACCCAGACCATAGGTCTCAGTCACTGGTTTGACTCTCTTGATGAGGAATCAGACATGCACCCGACCTTGGAGGTCAGCATCAGACGATCTCAAAATAAGTGCCTTATCAGGGTCTGATGCCAGGTCCTTTTACAGATCAGAGATGGGGGAGTGAAGAAACAAAGTAACAAGGCCATTAATCTTGCAAATATCTCCTAGTCTGGCAAGCCTGAGGCAAGGGATGTCTTAATTTCTTCCTTCCTACCATCTACAGGTGGACAGGGTTATAAACAAAGGCACTTTAACAGTCAGGCAGAGGGGCAGGATTCTCCCTGGGCAGTTCTGTGTGATTATAATAACAAAAGAGCAAGTCACAAAACCAGTTCCAACATGAAGTGCGAGTTGGCTTTTCCCTGCAACCTAATGGGCTTCCCTTGTAGCTCAGTTGGTGAAGAATCTGCCTGCAGTGCAAGAGACCTGGGTTTGATTCCTGAGTTTAGAAGATCCCCTGGAGAAGGGATAGGCTACCCACTCCAGTATTCTTGGACTTCCCTGTGGCTCAGCTGGTAAATAATCCGCCAGCAATGTGGGAGACCCAAGTTCAGTTATTGGGTTGGGAAGATTTCCTGGAGGAGGGAAAAGTCACCCACTCCAGTATTCTGACCTGTAGAATTTCATGGACTGTATAGT